TTCTTTGCCTGGCTTTCTTTCTCTCATTGCCGGTCTTTCTCTTGTACCAACATCTCCTCCTCTTTTCTTCCACTCCTCCTGTCTTGCTTTGAACCTCCCGGTTTCCGCCCTCCTATACGAAACCCTGTTCCATCCATACTCGTTCCCTTCATCCCCACGGGCTGCTTCTTCCTCCCGAGCACTTGCATCTATCATGTCTTGAGCACACTCCACAAAGCTCTTGTCCCTCGGTAGTCCATCCTTCTTTCTAGTGTCTCTCCCTAACTGAACTTTCAGGATGGTTGACAAAAATGCCATCCTGGCTCCCGTTTCCACCGCATCAGCCACTTCCCTCGTCTTCTCTGTTACGCGGTTAAATCGTGCCAGCAGATTTGCAGCATATTGCCCGTTGGTCTGATGAGGCTGTTTCCTTTCTCGGAACATCTGCAGGATGTCCTCCTCGGGCGCCCATCGACCTCCTCCAAACGCCTTCTTCAGCCGATCCTTCACAACATTCCATGGAGTGTCCTCATCCGCCTGAATCATATTCAGTACGCTCCTCTTAACCCGGCATACCAGGGCTGCCCTTAATGCATTGGCGTCCATCGGGTCTATCAGGTTTTCCTCCGCCTTAGCCAATATACGCGATATCACCCGATCGCCACCTTTTAGGAAGTGATTCAACTCACCTACTCCTCCATCGAATCTTTCCAAATCGGATATCGCTCTCCTAAGATCCTGCGACGTCGCCGTTCTCACCTTCAACCACTCTAACGTAGTTGCATGTGTTGATGCCAACGTTTCCGCAGGTAGTGGAGGAAAATCCCTCGCTAACGCCTCTGACAGCGAAGGGAACGCCGGCGGTGGAGCCAACGGTGCTGCTGGTGGTGCCGTCGGCGGTGTCGCCTGTGCTACCTGCTGTGCTACCTGTTGAGCGGTGGATGCTGGTGGTTGCCCTATTCCGTTCGGCATCCTTCCTCTTTTTTATTTCTTGTGACGTTAATAACGAAAACGAAAAAAAAGAGAAAAAAAAAACTACTTCCTCGACTGAATCTAAAGGTCCCGGGTTTCGGCACCACTTACGTCAGTTCGAACAAGAAATAATAAAAAAAAGGGAAAAAGGATCCGAAATGAAGCACGTGGTTACTCAAAGAATACTGACTTTATTGCCTTAGTAATGCCATATATATAGTATTACACTTTGTTTACACTTCATAGATAGGATTAACTTAGGATTAACTGTTATATTGTCTTACCTCTAACCATAACTTAGACATCCCGGTTAGGCAGTTACTTACTTCGATTTCCATCCCAACCTACTCTATCGCGAGAGACATTTAAAAGTTGTACTACTCAACTGATAGAAAAAATTAACACAACTCAACGGGAAAAATCCGGAATACCGAACATCTGTAACGCGTTGTCGCATAAAACGGGTAAAACACTTATTTTTCAACTTTGTTCTTCCCGTTCAAGGTGTCATTCGATTCAACTTCCCGAGCCTAATAAATGCTGTCGTATACATTTTTAGGATTAGCCGGAAATCAGTAAAAAAAAACTACCAAAAATTTCACCCCGCCCGCCACAATATTCAGATCAATTTCTAATATTACACGGATGTAGGTGACTCAATGTTCAATGTTATTTTGCCAGCAATAAACTCAGCAGAGTTTAAAGAAGTGGAGAGACTACAACTCTTTTTGATTAATTAATCGACTCCACCACCTCCTCACTCCATCATAAATGAAAATTAAACTTTTAACAAATTTTAATGGATCGGTTGTGAAGGTTTAGTTGTGTGGTACCCACTAGCGGATCCAGGAATTAATTTTGGGGGAGGCTTCAGCCCGAAAGATTTTTTTTCATATACGTATAACAATAATTAGTTAGAAAAAAATAAAGAAATTATATCTATATTAAATGGTGTTTAAGTGGTTCTTGAAGTCCTATTAAATGTAATTACACTAACAAGAATACTTTAAGAAATAGTTTTAATCTTTTTTTCCTGTAAAACATGGTTACATTTTACCATTTTGAGGGATGCTTCAGCCCGAAAGCCCCCCACCCGTAGATCCGCCTGTGGTGGTACCCAAACAAAGAGCCGAATAACAAAGTTGGTGTTATGACTTTTGCGAAACCATGGCTTCTATTAGCCCCGCCACAAAAAATTTCAAAACAACCCCCCTCCACCCTTCCGACCTAATTTTATGAAATTGAATTTGGACCCTCCCCCCATAATAAAATATCCATCTAAAAAAAAACTTCTCAAATTTAAACTATGCACCAGTCAAAGTACATCAGCTAGTTTATTATAATTGTTTTATTTTTCAACTCACCATTTCCTTGTACGAGTGTATATTTTAATTATTCATAATAATTAATTAAGTGACATGAAATATTGCAATTTTAGTCCAACAAGACTGCCACTGAAAAAAAAAAAAGGCCATTATGTTTATTTTTATTTCATTGTAGATATTTTTATTTGTTTAAGTTTCACTGGTATATATACGATTTTTTTTTTTTAAACTTTTATTGAGTATTAATACAGTCTGCCACACTGAAGGGCATTGGTACTAGGGCTATAGTATTCATTCACACAATATGTACATAAGAAAGGGAAAATATATATATATATATATATATATATATATATATATATATATATATATATATATATATATATATATAAATAAAAAGATAAAGTAATATAATATACAAATTTAAATTTTTATATTGCTGTAATCTAAACAATAAAATATTAAATAATACCAATGCTAACATTTATGGAAACGGCATAAGTACATCCATGAATATAACACTATCCGAGTCCCTATTATAATCAAGCACGTGTTGTGTATGGAAGTGAATTCTAAACTTTAGGCCGGACTTGCTTTTCTTCAATCCCTTATTTCTTCTTTAGTTAATCATCAAATTGTTTCATATTTTATAGCAGATTACAATGTGAAATGGTTAATAATTTCAAATAAAAAATAAAGGTACTTCAGAGGAGGAAATTTTGAAAATTAGGCATTTAAGCCCTGTTAGAGAATGTCAATGAGAATAAGATCTAAATTATACCAAATCTGCTTAATTTTCCTATGATATAATGAATTTAATCAGAATCGTTGAAGCCGTTAACGAGAAAATTGAAAAAATGTGTAAAATCAATGATATAAAGAGGCACTTCCGGTTAGCCAATTTTCAAGGAAACGTTCCTTAAAGTCCTAGGCATATCCTTATCTTAATACGCAATTTACGTTTTGTGCGATAATTACTTTGGAAAAATAGAAAGAAACTAACTGTCTATATGAAATGATGTTTAAGAGATTCCTAAAGCCCTTCTAAATGTAATTACAAGAGTAATAATACTTTGAGAGATAATTTTTTTTTTTTTTTTTTGAGAATACATGGTTATATTTCCCATTTTGGGGAAGGGGGGAGACTTCAGCCCGAAAGCCCCTCCCCCGTAGATCCGCCCTGCAATAAGCATTTTGAGACATGGTTATTCAGGGTGTGTAGTGTATTTTCATTGAAAACTCAGTTCAAAAATGTTCATGATCCTAACACTTTCCTTTACTCTATATTCTCATTTTTACTCGATTTTGTGATTAAATTATCTATGATTTAAATGGATATTCATGAGTTTTTAGGACTTCATCAAATTAATTTATTTTTTTCTCTGCCCCGCCTGTATGAGATTTTTCTGGGCGTTAAAAGTCCCCTCCCCCAGCACCAGAGCGCAAACTCCTAGTTATTTTATCGTGTATAACTTCGTTATCAAGTTGTCTGGTCACTATTAACTATCATTGGTTGGATTCCTACTTTACTCAATCAATATATTTTTTGTTACTAATTGTGGATTGATGGTTGACTATAGTGAACAATTGAAGAGAAGATTAGTTGGGGTGATCAGTAAAAAAAAAATGTAAAAATAAACAATTAATTTATTTTTGTTTGCTGACGTTTCGGCCCAAAGTTCAGGCCTTCATCAAGGATGATCCAACGAAAGATTTTAATTGGACCCTGCTTTTTTTTACCCTGAGAAATGAATCTTGACACTCTCATTCTAGTTAGTAGTTAGCAGCAAGCTTTGGGTAGTTAGCAGGGATTGGCAAACAGGATCAAGTCAGAAATTCTCTTAACAGTACTAGTACCGCTTTACTGTTGTAAGACACATCTGAGAATAGAATTTATATTGTTATTATACACCCCCAAGGAGTGTTCTTTTCATCCATTGCTGATGCCATTTCCTTCTATCTACTTTCCTTTCATCACTTGTTACCTAATCTCACCATCTGGATCATTTTCTGCTGACAGCTCGACACCTAAGCAACAGATCTACCCTCAGCCGGCTTGATATTGCATTTATATGCCTTTGGCGACATGACTTGCTCAGCAGTCAGATTAATTTTTATCACTGTGGTGATATCTAGATCACTGAATAGATTATAAATTTTATAAAACTTTAAATTAAGAATGATGAAAAACTCTGAAATGTTGTAATATTAATGATTGATCTGTCATTCAATTTATTTGACAAGTTTTATTTCTAATTAATCAACATGACTCATAAATTATCAATACATTTCTGCAACATGGTGATTTCAGTCATAAGTTGAAAGAAATAAACGACTTAAAGAAAAAAAAAAAAATGTATATTGTTATCCATGTGCAGGTAATATAAACATTTTGATTCACTTTAATAATTTGTAATTTATTACAACCGAAACAATCTAGATATGCAACAATATTTTAAATCTGATTAACATTGAATATTTCTTTTTTTTTATTTATTAATTATACTAATTCATTATCATGACTGAATATTAACATTAATGAAATCAACAATTTATTGAACAACTTTTTTAGATTTAAGTGAATTATTTATAATATTACGATGAATACAAACGAGTCTATGAATAAATAATTAACATATACAAAGCTGAATTTATGTTAAATAACTAAACAAATATAGAAAACCACTTAGTGATATATAGTTATTTGTTTAAAAAAATAAGTATTTCATTATAACAGAAAGCACACATCTATATTTATATATGAGTATTAAAAGGAAGACAATAAAACAACTCACTTTATCTAAGATAAAGAAAATGAGAAAAATGTTTTTAAAAAATCTGTAAACAATTACAATTCAAAGAAACACTTAAGAAAAAACATTAGCTAAAAAAATAAACAAACTATCCCAGAATATTTAAATTAATAAATTAAGTTCTTAACTATAAAACACTATGGTACAATAATTATATACAGCATGTACTTCCACGATACAGTTTTTTTTTTTTTTTAAGAATGTACAAGTTGATTTTAATAACTATAACAACCATCTTTATAAAATATATAATTTTTCAAAGGATCTTTTAAAATATCATGGCCTCTGATATCGCTTAACACAACAGAGAATTTTATAAAATGACAGAACCATTATTTTTATTTCCTTATCACAAACAGTCCATGTAATATATACACACAGGAGGAAAGAAGTTCTCGTGATACTGGTCCAGGCCAATAATTGGCAACATAAAACTGAATATTGTCTTTTGGGCTATAGGAGCTGCCCACTAATGATTTCATAAATCATCTTTCTTCGAAAATATTGCATTTTCGATTGGTCAAAGTCGAAGGGTGCTCTTCTGGAGCAATATTCAGCATAAGTACAAGCAAATATCCCACAATCGCTGCCATTCATCTGCTGTGGGATGTTCTGTAACAATTGAAAAAACTGATCAATAGCAGTCAAAATAAAGAATTTTATAATCAATGAACGTCCGAATATTTTTTCTTCTGCTAATGTATTCATTAAATAGGGTTTAAACAAAGAATAAATAAAAATAAACAGCGAACTTGAAACTTAATAGCACAAATTTATTCAATCCCCTTTAGAAAAGCTTGTTTAGTCCTCGAAATAGTTTCTCAAGCAACATTACCTCTACAAATCAACGGAATGAGCTATTTATTACCTCTGCAACTCTAAGAAAGCCAAATTTAATTACAGACATTATCGATATTTCTAGCCAATTGAGTTAAGTTTTTTGGGTTGCTAGAAATATAAGCCAAAGAAAAATTACAGACTTATTTTTTTACTATTTAATAAAGCATTGTGTTTATTGGATTATTTCATACATCATTTATAAACCAAGCCAAATTTCTCAAAGTTAAACAGAAAAAATAATACATTTTACCCAATTCTAAGGCTATCTCCTAATAGGAGACACTTATCTTACAAGCAGACCTGGTCAGTCTTATTAACACACTACTGTGTGGTCACCTCTGAGCCCTTTTATTCAAAATAATTGATTAAATATTTTGAAAACATCAAACAATTATTATTTCAAAAGATTGATTAATAAATTGTAGTTTGCATTTATTAAAATATCGTGTAACATAGACAAAACAAAAAAACAAATTTAAACCAGAGAAAACAACAAATCATGGTAATTCCCACAAATTGAAATGTGTGAAGATGATAACATAAATACTATGATAAATTTAATAAATATAAGTAAAAAAAAAAATAGATACAACAAACAAACAAAATAAAAAATTAAATGTTAGAATGAACTAACACAAAGCAAATATAGAAACAAAAATTAACCAAAAAGCACTGGTAAAACATGCAATTAAAATAGAAACATTTCAAGTTTGACAAAAAAATAGTAAAAGATAAAGCAAATACATTTAATTAATGAATTAAATTTTCTTTATCCTTCTTGGTTAGAACATTAGGCATAAAGGCATAATTATTATTATTTAATATTGTGAAAAAGTTACATAACTATTAAACATTGATAGTGTAATTACTATAAGGTAAAAATAAGATAAGGCTCAAAGATCCCTTTAAGTCGTAGGCGACAAACAAATTAAGTATTAAATATAGACTACCATAATTATTTGATGATGATTGAAAAGTGTACTAAAAATTGTTTTCATTAGTATGTGTGCATAGTATTATATCAAAAACCAAAAAATTAAATCAGTTACAAAAAATAAATAACAAAAACAAAATAAAACGAATGCACGACCCTGCCTTATTTCTATGCTTGGTCAATTTCAATTGAGCTGAAATTTGTTTAACTGTCAGGTGAACCATTCAAATGCAGTTACGCTCCCATATAAAGGTAGAAAGAATTGTTTCTCAATTCCTCCTGTATTACCTGAGCAGATTAAATGTTGTAAGTGGTCCACACGTTCAGGTATACAACACTCAATATATCGCAAACGTGTGGATTTGGCCTAATACTACTATATATTACTGAAAAGAGTATGAAATTCCTTTTCAAATGATGAAATAATATTCTAGACTTTGAGTTCAAACATTTTTTTTTTTACCTATGAAAATCAAATATATTTGTTCAAATAAAGAAAAGATTATTTTTTTTAGAGGAATATAAAAATGATGATTGGTGATGTCACAGGTTCAATCTTCTCTTTTTAAACAAATAAATTCACTTAGGTTTAAAATTAGCCTATAATATAAACGAATAATTGATTTTTTTTATTGAAATAATTAATGTTCATCTACAATAACTTAAAGGATGTTCCATGCTTTGTTTATTTCTTTACATGAATCAGAAGCAATCGTGTAAGCAATACTGAATTGGCAATAAACAAAATTTGTTTTCTTTTTGAAGAAAAAAATTAGTTAGCCCAGAGGGAGGCTTAAAAAGGATATCATAACCCCTTTCTTCCTCACTAGTATACTGTACAGAAAAGAAAAAAATCTTGTATTCTGAGCATCACATAATTAAACTTCTGCTTAGATTAGGCTAGTTAATATTCAATAATTAAAATCTATTATAAAGTTATTAGAGATTATTCATAATCCAATAATTATAAAAATTTATCACTTTGGTAAGGATACTAAAAATGGCTGGTTTGGGTATATAAAACAATAGTAATGGAAAGAATCTAAGCTCATTAGATGTCTGATTATGCAAAACCTTCAAAACCATATTGATGTTAATAAGGGTGAAGTAATCAGGTTACATTTAATCTAGGAAAGTAAGCATCACAAGAACAAAGTAAATGTACTCATAAAATGCAATTTCCAACAGCTGTTGTGTCTTGAATTACAAAAAGGAAAAGCTATAACTTAAACATTAAAGGAAATAGCCCTTATTCTATTGACTAGATCTGTACATTGATATTTGCTTAATGTCTAAAAGTATCCAATCCACGAAAAGAAATGTAAAAAGAAAAAGAAAAAAGTATATTGACTAAAGAAAATGAGCTTCATTATATTTAATGTGTGAGCAATATGTATGAAATCAGAATATTACAACAATGTAAAACATAATAGATAAAGGAAGAAAAACTGAAAAGGTAAAATATTTATGTACCAAGCATTAAAATTGATTAATCTAACTGATAAATACCCAAAAATGATAACAGAATTTTGGCTTCCAATTGTGCCTATTTTAGAATCATAAAACTTAATCACCACATCAATTTTATGCTTGATTCAATAGCAGCATAAATATAGCAAAAATGGAATAATAGCATAATGATGACATGATTATCTGATTACAATTGTAATAGGAAATCTAATAATGATTTTAATTGTATAATCAAAGACTATTATTATGCCCGTCTATGCTGAGCACAAATTGAGGCAGAGTTTCATAGATATATAGAAACAGGTATCATGAATAGAGAGGCAGCAGTATTTCTAAATGTGATTTAATTGAATGCCCTTAAGATCGAAACTACAAACCAGAACTAGAGCAACACCTTTTATATTTTTAATCTATACCATTGGATGGTGTTATAGTCCTTTCAGGACCAGTTCAACTCTGCCAGTTGTTTCATACAAGTTGTCGGCAGTTCCAGGCCAGCAAAAATTAGGTATGGGATTCTCTATACTACCTGAGGAAGTAACTCAGCACTGTCTCAGAGAACAGCCTTCCAAATCAGTCCTAGGTGTTATGGGCTGATAATACATACATACAATAATAATAAAAAGTAAATATATATGTAATAAGGAGTATGGCATGGTAAGGAAAATGATATATTAGACTTGAAATGTTAGAGGATTAAGCAAATGATAAAAAGAATGACCTTTGGATAAAGGATTCTGCAACGGGTACTAAAAATAAAGCACTAGGAAAAATGAGTAACTGAAAATAGAGAGTTTTTTCTTAAAATTAATAGAACTTCCATGAATAGAGGCAAATTTTAAAAAGAAGTCATGTCTTAAATTGGGATGTCGCGAGTAATAGAAAGGAGGTAAAGTTCATAAATGAGTTAGATGTCTGATTATGCAAAACCTTAAGCACTGTACTGAAGACAAGGTAAGGGTGAAGTAATCACATCTCTATAATCTAGGAAAATGAGCAAATCAAATACATAAATATGTACTCGTCAAATGCAATTTTCCAACTTTTGTTATGGGTTGAATTACACAATAAATAATTAAAATAATTTTTGTGCATTGGATTTTTTTTTTTCTGCAATTCTTTGTACATTAAAATGATAGAAAATTAATTTGAAAAGACATTCACATCAATTAGATCTTAACATTGAAGGCATTGATGTAAGTCCAATTTTTTGTTTTAATGCGTTTATGTTTGGTGACCAATATTGCTGTTTTGATTGATGTAAGAACGAGATGCAAATGTGACATCAGCCCTCCCATGTGAGATAAATAGTGTGAGAAAGAAACTCTGTTATCTTATCAACTAGTGCAAATCCCAGTTTTGAATGTATAATCCATACCTCATTTCAATCCACACCATATTATCTGAAGACTTGTAAATCATCCCAAGTATAAATAATAATAACAACACAATTTGTCCCATTATATGGGGAAGAAGATCTTATAATAAAAATCTTCATTATGAAATACTCTAACTAAAAAAATGTAGGCAACACATAACAATTAAGTGCTTTATTACCTTAATATTTTGTACTTTCCAGTCAATCAAATCCAACGAAGAACCCTGTTTCACTTCATGCTCAGCTATAAGATAATTGGATATATGCTACAAAAAAAAAAAAAAAAATTAAAAATCCAGATAAATCAATAATTAAAAAAAAATGAATAACTTGGTGTTGGAAATACTCTACTATTAACATTTCAAAATCGAATCCTAACTCCTAATAACTGGTTCCAGGTCTGGGTTTGGAAAAGAGGAGAATTGGGTTAAAGATTTATAAAATCCAATGGGCTGCTGAGGTATGTTAACCTGATAAAAAGACTTGCTTACAGGAAGAAAAACTCCAGACGAAATACCATGCTGGTGAGCAACACATCAACTTCACATTATGGGAGCCGAAATCTTCAGTTGGACGAGTCCTGGAAGATAATCACCAGGACCGAGAGGAGATATTGCAGAACTGATGATCTGCAGAGGGATCTACCTCTGTCAGAAAAAACTGCTAAAATTAGAGCCATCATGACCAAAGGTAGTATAAAGTACTTATTAAGTTAGATTCAGCATTAGCAAATTTAAATGATTTTCCAGAAACGTAACAATCACAAATGTTAAGGGATCACACTGTGGTTAGATTATTTAAGATGGCAAGTTAGACTCAGCATTCACAAATTTAAATGATTTTTCAGAAACGTAACAAGCACAAATGTTAAGGGATCATATTGTGGTTAGATTATTTAAGATGGTAATATTAAAAATTTGTTAACATGTAATTATCACAGTTAGAAGCAAATATTATCTCAAAATATCAGTCTTCTTCAACAACTACTGATAGGAATTGAATAAAATTCCATATAATTTTTAAAATAGAAGTACTAAAATATTATGTAAAACAAATAAAATGGGGAAAAAAAAACTGAAATTGATTGTGGATTTTAAGTTTAAAACAAACTAATAATTTCAAAACACAACTGAAGAAAATGAAAAAGATATATAGTTTGATTTTATAAATACCCTCAAACAATCATTATTGTCATGGCCCATGGAATCGTAATAGTTTATTTCTTTCTTCATTAGGTCTACAACGATTAAGCACCAATGCATATGCAAGTGAATAGGTATAATAATCAGCTGTTTTTCAAATATGTTCACCTAGAAAGAAAACGATAGTTTAAATAAAAGAAACAATGATTTCTTGAGTAAAAGTCTAAGTAAGTTGAGAAATTATAGCACAATTCTTCTTCTTAACTACAGTAGATGGCAGTATTGAATACCATCTACCAGACTGTCAGCCCAGCACTGCCTAAATCCGCAGACCCGCCTCCATCCGCACAGGCATTGTAACCAAAAGTCCTACCCATTGTTGTCGACTTATCTTAATGGTGTTGGTGATATCCGCATCATTGTTAAGGCCCATCAGCTCTGTACTGATGCATTTTCAGACTCCATCTTTATAGGTCGACCCATAGATTCTAAAGACAATTGTCAATTTAAGATAGTAAATATCTTAAAAAATATAACAGGTACGACATAAATATAGGATTCTTCTGAAAGGAAATTTTGTCAGATTTATTTATATGATCATTACAAATTTTATATCACAATCTTCATACTTCCAAAAACACTTAATGATGTTTCAGATCATATTTATCCATTATTAAACATTTTATTTTTATACTATTTATCTATTTTTTAAATTATCTTTGTATTTGTAGGATTTGTCAATTTAACATAGTGTAAATCAATTAGCTCTTTGTTATAACTTTGAAATAATATTTTTTTGAACAATAAATCAGTCAGAGTTATGCCTTTGATAAAAAAGCGTAGCAACCTTAATTCTAATTTATTTAGAATCTTGCAGTTTGGCATTTCCCTTTATCTTTATTATCTTTGTTATTAATTGTCTCTTCATTATAAAAACAAACTATGAAAAACATAGTGACATTTTATGAAGCTACCTCACTATTCCGATTTTAACTGAATTTGTTACGTTTAATGTTGGATAGGATAAGTTTTTCTGTTTAACGCAATGTTTTGGGGATATCAGTGAATACCCAAAAAAGTTTTTTTGCCTGAGAAATAAGTGCAATACAAAAAAAAAAAAAAAAAAAAAACGGATTTTCCTCGAGATATATAAGTGAAACGCCGCAAAAAGGGACTTCTTCATTCCGAGATTGGAAACTTTTGCTATGTTTATTTCTTTAAGTATCCCCAATGAATTCCTTAAGTCATATGTTTCCGAGCTCTCCATAAACTTTACAATAATTAAATAAAGATCACCTTTTAGGGTATAATTCTTCATAACATATAAACATTAGTGATTTTTTGAGCACATGTAGATAGAAGAGGAGATTAATGATATAAGTATTAATAAGAAACAAGAAATTAATGATAAATAAGAAAAAAAAATTAGGTATAATTACTTTTTTTGTCCATCGTTTCATTCCAGCATGTCCCCTTGATTGAAGCCCAGCATAAAAGAAGGTACTAAAGGTATGAATTGGTGGGTATCTTTCAGTTTTCTGAGCACGATCTTCCAATAATTGCATATAAAAATTAATAACCTAAAATTAATAAGAAGATTACACAAGAAAATGATGTAGCCAACATTGAAATATTATAATAAAAATCCAAGTAATTTAAAAGACTAAACTATGTTTTAAGAGGAAATACTGTTGTAATTGTAAGAAAATAAAATATCTAAACAGTCTCTAACAAATGTCTTCAGAGTTAGTTATTAGGATGAATTGATCATTAGAAATAGTCTAATTTGAAGTCATGTGAAAAAATTAGCTTTTCTTCAACTTTTTAAAAATGACAGAAGTCTGTCTTTGTCTGTCTATGACACTCAAATGTTAAAAATTATTGGAATTCTGATATTATTAAATATTGATGGACTCATAGATACCATCACAAACTTAATAGATTCTGCAATGGTGATATTTAATTGTTAAGTGCCAAATTTAATCTTATTTATAAAAAAATTATTTTATCAGACATTAATAAGTATAGTTTACTTTGAAGAATGTAACATGCCATGAAAAAAGTAAAATAAAATGGAAAATGCTTTGTACCTATGATTTGTTCGGAGTATTTAATATTTATATTGAATATCTCAATTTATGCTGAACAGGAGTATTGAAGTTAATTTACCATTTCACATGTTTTTGTTTGTTTCCTTATAATTTTTATAGTAAATGGAACCTTCATAAGTTATTCTTCAAAATAATTTGTGATTATATTTCTTCTTAACAGTTTTCTAAGTTCTAATCTGAAGTTACTCTGGCAAAACATGATACAAAGGGAAAGAACAGTCTCTGTATTAGGACAAGTGGATATCGGGTGCATTTACCCTTATCATGTTTTGCAGAGGCCACAGCCCCATCTAGTGCATTGAAAAATTAATTTAAAAAAAAAAAGAAAGATTTATTCAATTATGCACCATATCCCACTTTCAAGACATTTCCTGGAGATTGTAAAATGTGAACCTCAGACACACTTTAACCTTCATCATTGAATACTATTACAAATATAATTGATATATCTTTTAGGATCAACGCTAAAAATAAAATAAGAAATTTTAATTCACTTACCTCATCATTTAACCAATTAAGCCCATTCAAGGTTTGAATATCACGTCGTGTAATTTTCAAATTGAACTTCTCTGTCAGTACTTCATGCTCTGGAGATCTGACTAATGCTGCTTTTATTTTCAGCTAAATAAATGTAAATTAGTGTAGATTATGTCTTTTGTAATTAAAAATATTAACATAAAATGAAATATTTTTGTCAATTAATAATAAAAATTGATAAAACAATTTTTTTTACCTCAGCTGCCTTTGACAATGTAGGCAAAGGTTTAATTATTGGTGAATATTTTTCTTCAGGAGTTTCAGTAATTAAGGCTTCTGTAATTTTGAGATGTCGTTCCAATTTCTTTTCAAGGATCTCTTCAAAAGCCCTACGATTTTCATCACTCCATGCAGTTGCTTCCTTGTAATAACGATCACGAGTTTCAATAAATGACTTTTGTGTTTCCTCATAGTCTTTCATTCTAAAATAAAAATGAAGTTCTTAATATGAATCCTGCTCAGATATTAATTAGTTTTCGATCATGTAAATATCATATGAGGCATAGAGATGAAATATGAAATAAACCCAAGTTTGAAAATTTATCACGAAACCCAAAAACATACATGATTCAGGTGATTGCTTTTTGATAAAATTATTATTGGATACAATAGAGCCCCACTTAACCGGTCACTTTGAGACTGACACCCAAGCTGGTTTCTCATTTGTCTGCATAATCAAAGCTGAAGGTATTTCATAAGAATATATTAACAGAAAGGTAGAATAATATTTATAAATTAACAATGACAGCAAAGTTATTTTACAAAAAGTTTATGATTTTCCATTGCTTGTTTAGATTCATAATTTGCAAGTGCAAAATCACTCCTCTTTTCATGATTAAAACATCTACAGGCATTGAACCGTGCCCCTCTTTAATGTACATCAATGCCACCGTCTAATCCTTAATGCATTCATACTACAATTTTAATGCTCTAGTAAAATTATAAATGTATCCGAATAAGTTTCTTAACACTTGGCAAACATTTTGACCATAATTTCGAGAATTCAGAAGCCAGATTTTCTTTGTATGCTATAACTGACATGTAAAATACATCCTTGATATTGATGTTTAACACAATTCCAAGCAGGAGTGTGTTTTCACTCTCCGAAAGTTGTAAAAATTTGAAAGAAATTTATGACTGTAAGCATTTTGAATTATTGATTAATTTTGAATTGATTAAGGGCTCATTGGCCCCAGTGTTGGACTAATCTTGTCACATTAGTGGGGATGAAAAGTTGTACTGCTGTTCAGTTTATAAGAATGGGGAGGGGACTTTTTCAACTCCAGCAGTGCTTAGAGAGTCAAATTGAAACTTGTAAAATCTATTTTTACTTATGGAATTTAGCATGACTCAAATCATTCATTGAATAAACCTGAACTCATTCAGGATGATAATTATGACCTTATGTATATGGAATAGGACAACAAGCTCAGATTCAGTGGTTTAGCTGATTTACTGATAACGAAAATTGGTAGTTTGTGACAACATGCAGCATTTCAACAAACACTCATAACATTACATTTGTTTTTCTTAACTGATCAAAAAGGTTTAATTTGAAAACATTTTAAAATTCAGCCCAGTCTCATCCAGAAATTGATTCCTTTTTTTTTTTTCTTTTCTCACTAGACCGGTTAATAGGAATTCTACTAGTACAGTTTTTAAACTATAACGGATGTAAGTTAGCAGAATATTGTTCAGCCTTTCTAAACATAATTATTTTTTTTGTTGTCCATTTGGCTTAACAGACCTTGTAGATCTTTGGTCGCCTGAACCAGCCTTCTCCACCTCTGCCTATCTTGGGCTACTGCTTTCCAGTTTGCAGCATGAAGTTCAGCGGTATCTTTGTTAATCCTATCTATCCATCTTGTTTTTGGCCTCCCACGTGGTCTCTTGCCTACTACTCTGGCATTCATAGTCATGTAAAGGCGTCCTGATGGATTGCTACGAGCTACATGCCCTGCACATTATAACCTCCTTGCCTTCATGTCATGAGATATCGACTGACCCGTTTCTTTCAGCAGTTCTTTATTGTTCCTCCTCCTCCATCAGTCAAGGTTCTGGTTCCATATAGATCCTGTTATTCTATGTAGAACTTTTCTTTCGAATCTCTCAATTCTGGCTTCTAGTGTGCCGGTTAGAGCCCAGGTTTCACACCGCACAGAACTGGCTTAATCACAGCGTTGTACACCGTTATTTTGAGATTTTTCTGGATTTCAGTACCTTTGAATGAGAGAGGAAAGATCTGTTCGCACTTGTTATTCGCTGGTCTATCTCTGTTTGTTGATCATTTATTGAGGTTATTGTGGAGCCGAGGTGTTTGAATCTGTCTACTTTCGGGAATGACTTAGAGTCCACGCAGATCATGTTATTAGGGTGGATGTTTCGGCTAACTATCATGTATTTTGTTTTATCTACATTGACCTGTAGTCTGATTTGCTCTGCTTCTTTTAACAGACTCCGAGCGAGTCTCTCAATATCCTCTTGATTACTTCCGAGGACAGCTATATCATTGGCATATGCTAGGATTTTATGTTTCATTCCAACGTGCACCCCTCCTTCTTCGCATGAAAATATATATAAATATATAATTAATAAAACAATGTTTTAAAAAATAATCTAGAGATATTAAATAAATATTAACATCTGTTTATAGTAATTAACTATGCCACCTTAACAGTTTTTTTATAAAGTAATATAGTTGATTTAATTTTTTTATAGTATCTATTTTTAATAGGTGATAAATATTCAGGACGGAGTCTTTTTTAAATTTTTGCCAACGTTTCAAACCCAAACATGTGGGTCATCTTCAGGGCGTGGTTTGAGCACTGAAGATGACCCACATGTTTGGGTTGAAACGTTAGCAAAAATTTTTAAAAAAGACTGCGTCCTGAATATTTATCACCTATGATATGTAGAACAGTCGACTAACTTCCTTCAAGTATCTATTTTTAATATGTTCTCTACACTAATGTCTTCTCTGGATTCAGCAATAAATCTCTTCAAGTACTTATTTCTTGGTTTGACGAATTTGATGCATTAAATCAAAAAATGAGACACTGGTTCAGTTACAAGGCAGTTGCATGCTTCACATAATTCATTAGATTTAATAGTGAAGGCAGCACCTTTTATGCATATCTTAACGAAGTCATAACTTACTACTCTGAGATGGCTGACAGCTCTTAGTTTGTTCAAATTTAGAGACTTGAATCGCAGATAGGCTTCTGGTCCAGTGGTATATTTTAATCATACATCATATTATAAAATATATATATATATATTAATTTCTTAACATTTATTTTGTATACCTAATGAGCAAAATGTTATTTAATTTAATATTTTTGTTTTGTCAGTAACATCGAATATTTTCATGATCGAATATTCCTCTCAAGTACTTAATGACAAAGCCATTATCTGAACATAAATGGATCAACTACAATAACTAATTTATGTTAACAAAAACTTTCAATTGGTAACCTTCGGGTAACATTTAAATTGAATGATTTGGCTGAATAAAGCTATATTACATCTTCGCAAAAGCTGTTTTTTTTTTTTACTAAATTATAGTTCAGTGTAGCTCCTATTCCTATCACACATTAAGTTATAAGAATAACACTGCCATAAGATATGGAGGGAGGGAATAATGGTCTATGCTACTTTCAAGAAAAAAAGCTAATTATTGATCATCAGTAAATAAAAAGAAAACTAGAAAGACCCTTATTCGGCCAAATCCTTCAAATGTTCCTTCTGTGTTGTTTAAAGCAGCTTTCAAGGAATTCAATTTCAAGCATTTATGCTTGAATATTTTCTGAAACTCAATGGATTGGAAGTTAGGAAACTTTTGAACATAAAATCAGATTGGAATCAATATGTTTTGAAGGAAAAAACAAGCACCACCTTCAAGAGGGCACTAAATAGTTTTGAAGGCATTAAACATACAAAAAATGGATTTATCCCCTTTTCATCTCCACACCTAATTTAAACAAGAAAAAAAGCTTAGATACTTACAAATTAACTACCCAATCCTGATGAGTACAAGGATGATCTTTCAACTTGACCTCAAATGAATTAACTCTAGTAACACCCATTCTGGTACCTATAAAAAATAATATTAAATGTTTTAAATATATGTTTAATTCACCATACTTAATTTAAGACTTAAATCCTGATTGGAAGTAGATTTCCAATAAAAAATATATATTAAAACAGAATATGGAAAGCATCATATGCATTTCTGGAAACATTAATATATGATAAACCTAGGAAGGGTTCCACCCCATCAAGCTAAAAAATCTTACTTACTGTTAGGCGCTTTGATCCTACAAGGACTTAAAGCAAGTCATTCCTATCTTTCCCTCGTGTCCTCTATATTCTTACTCAAGAAAACAACTTGAGGTCCTCCTTAATGTCATCTAACACTCTTGGTCTTCCTCTGTATCATTTCTCTCCAATTTTTCCATACAGCAGATATTTTGGCATCCGTTCTACATGTCCGAGCCATCTGAGATTTTTTTTTTTTTTTTAGAAAGGATCATTTTACAAGGTCTGGTTTTCCATACATTGCACAGAGCTCACAATTCTTCCTTAATCGCCACATGCTATTTTCTCTTATTGGCCTGTTATATCTTCCTTGGTATTTTCCTTTTCGAGACATTGAGTCTCCTCTTTCACTTTCATCTGTCAATACCCAGCATTGACTGCGATAAGTCAAAAGAGCTTTGAACTTCAATTGTTTTTTATATGACCTAAAGTCACTTCTTACCTGCATACAGCCTTGTATTCACTTCCTCAATTATTCATTTGTCACCTGTTAGGGACAGAATCAAGATATTTAAAAGATTTTACATTCACCAATCCTGTTGTAGGTTCCTGGAAGTTTTTAAATATTTCGTTTTTTCTTCATTGACATGAAAGCCTACTTCTATAACTTCCCTTTTAAACTCTTCAAAAGCTCCTTCAAGTACTGCGGAAGTCTATTATAAATAGTTCAATTAGGATTGTTTCATATTGCCCTAATAGCTTTTTCCAAAGCTGACAAGGACAGGTGATAATGGGTCTCATTGCCTCAGGTCACTATTTACTAATTCTTCTTATAGCATTCCTTGTATTTTTACCTTCATCCTGCTATCATGTATAGTTATTTTGGCAAGCCTAGTGAGCTACTTGGAAATTCCCAATTAAAGCATTATCTTAAGTAGCTTCTTTCTATCAACACTGTTGTATGCCCGCTTGAAATCAATAAATAAGCTATGAAGGTAAAAATTAAATTCATATCTCCTTTCAAGAATATATCTTAGTGAAAATATCTGGTCTATGGTTGATCTTCCATGCCTGAAACCACACTGATACTTGCTCACTATCAGTTCAGAGCACTTCATCGACCATCTGTTTGGAAATGCAGAAAATACCTTGTAGGTTGTGTTCAATAATGCTATCCCTTTATAATTATCACAAGATAGTTTGTCCCCCCTTTTATGTATGGGACAAACTGCTGCTATTTTTTACTCTTCAGGTATTAGCACTTCAAACCAATTGGAATAGAATAACTTTTTAGATCATCCCCTCCATTTATTTAGCATTTCTGAATGTATGCCATCAATACCAGGAGCCTTATTGCTCCTTAATCCGACAATTATTTCTTCAACTTCATCTTGTTCTTGTGGCTCTCCTTTTTCGGGTACACCTATTCACCATTTAAGCTGCTTAATTCTTTCTTCTTTATCTTGGTGCTTGTGTTCTACAAGAATTTCCTTGAAATATTCTGACTATCTCTGTAAAATTTGAACAGGCTCACTGGTCCTCTCTTTTGTTTTGCAGTGTGTGTAATGTTTTTCCAATGTTTGTTTCTAAAATGAAGTGAAATAAATAAATATTATGTTTTGTGTTTTACGCAGAGATTAAAATCATTCTAGGTCATCACTCTGTCACCGAATTGTAATGTAATAAGAATTATGTTGTCACACTACTGAGATAAGTTGAAGTGAAAGAAAATGAAATTTAAAAAACTTTAATTTTTGCTGTCTCCAATGATGAACAAACAAACTCGATTGTAAACCTCTTCACACACAAAAAATGGAAAACCGTATTAATAAGTGATGTAAAAAAATACAGCTCAACACAGAAAGAAGCCTCATCAGTTCATGAGTATTTACTGAACATCAAAAATAACTTCCTGAATACTTCACTCCTTTGAAGCAACACCTTCAGCTGAGAAGAAATAAAAGCTGAAATTGGGCATGGTATCTGTTGGTAACCAATTGTCATGACAGCAACTGCAATTATCATCACAATCAAATGACCACAACAACTACTCTATTTGCTCCAGTCAGATACCTCATCCGTTTTCATCTTCCAATCTCTGAGGGATGGAGATTTCTGATTTTGTAAGAAAAAATAAAGCTGTAACAAAAATAAAGTAAATATAAAATTTTATTAACAAACCGTTTTTAGGAGAAACGCTCAAGACTGAAGTATCTTCATTAATTTCTATAACAGGAGGAGTTGCAACATAACGAACTGAGTTCCTTGAGTCATTTTTAGAAGCAGTACTGGGATTTATCTTTACTTCTGTAACCTCATCATCATCACTAAAACAGCATAAAAAATAATTTATGAATTGAATGCATTGGTGTTCTTAACTTATTTATGACTACCATAGCAATCAATCAGTTTATAACTTGCTATATAAATGTTACACATTTTTCCGGTTATTTATTTAATCAATCCATTATAAATATTAAATTAAAAAAAGGAATACTTTTTTAATAATATAATGATTGATGTTTCTAATAATATCAGGATGAACATAAAGTATACTTTGTTGCAATTCCTTTTATAATATAAGAAAACATATAAGAGGATTTGCACAAAATAAATGAGAAAATCAATGGTGAGTGGCACAGAAATGATTGACCGTAGTTCTAACTTAAGAAATAGTTTGGGAGGCTGCGATCAACAATTACACTATGTTGGTGTAATGTTTATTTATGGATTATGTTTCAACCTATGCACTATACATACAAAACATTATTATTAATTGGTACAAGGTAAAAAAAAAAAAAAAAAAAAAAAAAAAAAAAAAAAAAAAAAAAAAAAAAAAAAAAAAATGAAAATATGAGTTAATGTTAAATTGGTACAATATATCAGTTACAGATCTATTATAGAGAGTGAGAAATGACATCTAGTAAATGAAATGAGTATAAACAGAGTAAAGTAGAAGAAAAAATAAATGGAAATGCAAATTGTAAGCAATGATATATAAGTGAATTGAAATGTATATTAAAACTGATAGAAATATAAACGGTAAAGAATGATGAACAACAATAATGAACAGTAAACAAGTGAATGAAATGTAAATGGTAGACAATGATATAAAAGTGAATATTAATATTGTAAAATTCTTTATTATCGGTATATATAAATTAGTTTAATATTAGTCATTTCTTATCCTGTAACTGATATCTTGCATCAATGTTACATTAACTCTTATTTTTATTTTATTTTATCCTTGTGTCAATTAATAATTTTTTGTCTCTTATTCTTTTTAGCCCTGCACTCCACTCTCTCATCAACTATTTCTTCAAGTTATATGTCAATCTTTATTGCTTTAAAATTCAATTATTTGATTTAAGTTGAGTGTATTTGAGGTGTTATTATATTAAGCTTCTTACAATCTGGTATAAAAAGGTAATCCATGCTTCAGCAGTTGGTAGTTGGTTCCTAGTCGAGTCAAATTGTTAGTACTACTTTTATAATCTAAACAAAAATGAGAGAGAAATAAAACCTCATTGACAGAGCTCCCCTCCCCTGCTCACATTTTTTATTTATTTAGTCATTTCTTTATAATACTAGTATTTATAATATGAAATGAGAGGACAATGGCCTATTCATCGGTAAGTAGCACAGCACAATACAGAATCGTGAATCGCTTACTTGCAGCAGTTGATTTTTATGATGCATTCATGAATAGCATCCCAATGCTGTAATAACCCTTCTTGCCAAACAAGAAAGGGGAAGGAGAAAAATAAAATAAAGTTCTAAGTAAATGAGTATTTTGAGAATTTTTTTTTTTTAATTTTGAATGCCATTATACAGAAAAAAATGATCAGTGTTTGTAAACAAATTAACAAACTGTTAGGAAAATGAGTAACGAAAAAATTATTAGTTATTAAATGGAAATTAAAGTTATTAAATAAACTTTCTAATTAGTCAGTAACCAAGAAGATTTCTAGTATTACAAAAAATAAATAAAATAAAAAATGTGAGCAGCAGAGCTTTGTCACTGATGCTCTATTTCTTCCTCTTTTTTATTTGAATTATGTAACTAATTTAACTATTAAATTTCTTTGTCATTTGACATATGTTTTATTTCGTTATTTTCAATAATAAACAAGATTTATTAATGAACCTATTATTTATTTATTAATTATTTGTAATCAACCAAGAAACATTTACCTATTCTCATCAAGACATAATTAATTAAATTACTTATTTTCATATTATAATACTATATGGTGATTGACCAATAAGCCATGCAAATTCCATTTTCGTGACTGATCAATAGGCCATGCATATTATTCCCAACAGCGAACTAGTTTCAATTGACTTCATCTTTCAAAATTATATAAATTGATTTAATCAATTATTTGAGAGAGATAAAAATTAAATAACAAGAACTTAGAAAAACTATAACTACAAACTCATTTAGGCGGGTTTTCATAGCATTATTTGAACACTGTTGAGAACATACATTGCTGAATTCTCAGAAGTAGAGTATTAAGTCAATAGCCTGTTGCCCTTGGAACCTAATATAGTTGCATCAGTTTCATCATTTTATAGTATGAAGTGATCAAGAAAATATATTAAAAATACTACACTTGGGAAAGAAAATAAAACTTGCTTAATTAATAATATTAAACAAAATTGAAGATAAAGATAAAAATATTAATAGTTTTCTCATTGGCTATTGCAGAAGAAATCCTGTTAGGGAAATGTTTGTCTCAGAAAAATTGAAGTTTTTTTCCAATTTTTAATTTAAAACCATTAATGTTAATCACAGCTGCTGTAATTCTTGGTCTCAGTTTAAGGTAAATAATTAGAAAAAAACAACTTATCCAAAGAATAAAACAAAATAGACATAAATTATTTTATTTTCAAAATAAATAAATAAAAATTATTATTATAAGATAAATAATATATTTATATTATATATAAATAAAAAACTTTACAATCCAGAAATCTGTTCTACTCTGTGGTCAAGAAACAAATAGCCTGTTCTTGGAACAGTAGGAATTGTCAACTGAATATATGGGTGTATTAGATTGATCAGTCTAGAGTAAAATATTTTAAAGATTTTACACTCTGCAATGTATTACTTACTTAAGGCTAATGTGCCATGAAAAAAAAAACATTTTTTTACTTGGCAATCAACTAACAAAACAAAAGAGTAATATAAAATCATATTCCGTATCATCTAATTCTTGATACAGTGCATTTCACTCTTAGTAAATAAACAAATAAATATTTGAATTTAAATAAACCAACCTAGTCAGGTCTACAAATGTCCCTGGTTTAATTGGTGGAGACTTCAGCTGAGGACTAGTAGGTATTTTACCCTCCAGCATGGATCCAAGCACACGTCCATAACTATTACGCTCTTCCAAGTCAATAACTGCCTGCCATAAATAATATAAATAAATTTTAGATACATTGTCAATATAATCTGTATTTGTTTAATAATGAAGAGTTAAATTTATGACTCTGTATAGGGCTACTAAAAAAAGGGATAACAGAAATTAAAATTGTTATAAAAAATAAATAATTATTCCAAAATAAAACCAAGAACTCAGAATACATTTTTAATCATAGTAGAATATAATAGTGTCAGCAGATTATCTACATCAATATGATGAAAAAAAAAAATTATATATTTCTGATATTGATAAAATTATTGTTTATCATTGAAGAGTTCACTTAGAACATCTTTAGCAATAGAAAATCACCATAAATGAGATATAAATCTGTATGGGAATGATCTAGAAGGCTGAATAAAGTATGACAAAAATAAGATACAAGTTAAAATATGCGAGTGATTTAGGAGGCTGTGTATATACAACATAAATGAATATAGGCATGGTCTGTGTTACAGACTCCTTTTTATCAAATTATTAACATCCAGCTGAAACTTCGTAAATAGCTGTATCTTATCATAACTTACAAATATCTTATTTAAGAAAATTCTTGGAATTGGAGAGTTTTTAATCTGGAGGTTGCCAAACTGCCTATTTAATTAGGAACTAAAAACTTGTAAATACCCATCTGTTTTCCACTTGAATTGTAAGATAACTTGAGCACCAAGTCGAGAAAAAAGGTGGCCTTAAAAAATATTGAGCCATTTGGCATGACTTACACCTCCAACTTTTCAAAATAACGAGGTTATATAGGACAAATGGCCCAATATTTTTATAGGCCACCTTTTTTCTCGACTTGGTGCTCAAGTTATCTTACAATTCAAGTGGAAAACAGATGGGTATTTACAAGTTTTTAGTTCCTAATTAAATAGGCAAAGTTTGGCGACCTCCAGATTAAAAACTCTCCAGTTCCAAGAATTTTCTTAAATAAGATATTTGTAGGTTACTATGAGATGAAGCTATTTATGAAGTTTCAGCCTGTACCACGGACTAATAAATTTACAATTAATTCAATTAATGCTGTAACTCTTATGGAACATGCTGAAAAATAATAACAATAAATTGGAATTAATTTTACATAATATTCCATTTTAATTTTATAAAAAAAAGTAATTATAATTTTTTGAAATTACAGATGAAGTGTCCTCTCTGTTTAATAGTAGCCCTTGATTTCCTTTCCATTTTGCATATCGTTATATAGCTGATTTCCAAATAAAATGTACTGCAGCTCTCGAAGCAAATGAGGTGCAGATGCAGAGAACCTTATTCAATTAGGTCTAAGTATGGAGAACATATGCAAAGGCAGGGGAAGGAATTTAAGATTTGTATAGGGAAGGTTGTATATAGCAGTCCCAGAAATTAAGTGAAGGGGACATAATTATTAATGATGTAATCAACTGCGGAGTACATTCATTTATGATTTAAGAAAGTGGGAAAATAATCTTAAAAGAGTGGGCCAGGAATGAGATAAAACTGTTGATCTAAATTGAGATATTACAGTTACAGTTTTCGAAATGATATTGCATAAACCAAAGGCGCTACTCTCATGTATTCATAACTGGTGGTATCATAACAGAGTTTAATTTAAACAATAAGTAATTGGGTGAATTATATAAGATCCCAATTCAATTTTTACCAAATTAAATATATATATATATATATATATATATATATATATATAATGTGGTAGTAAAGATCACTTTTCTGGCTCTCAGAAGGGATGGATTTTGATGAATGAGGTATTAAACGAAAGGAAATTTAATGGAGTAGTGACAAATTAAAAGAAATTTCTATAACAACTGAAGCTTCACCAAGTATGTCTTGAATAGACAATCTAGATAAATTTATATTCTATAATACAAACAAACATTTTTCATTCATGTCGCTTACTATGCATTGAATATATTAGGGAAAAGGATACCTATTTAAACTAAGAGTTCTCATTGGGGTATACCAGTATTTTTTATTTCACAAAACCCAGAACAAACTGTAATAATTCCGTTGTATGACAAATTTAAATATTTTAACAATTTTTGGAAAAATTCAATAATAAAAGGATTCAAGGATTCAACAGTGAAGGAAGATAAAACAATACACCTAACAATAGATAAGGACTAATTTTCACTGTAGATTTTTTATAAATAATGATTAGTCAAATGTAACTTAATAAAACATGAAATTTAAAATCAGATTAAAAAAAAAATATTGATTTCACTTTTTTGCTAACTAACTTGGAAGATCTCATCCGAAATCGGGATATAAGCTGTTACTTTACTGATAAACTTACCGAATTTACTTCCAACAGAATTGAGTTGAACAGGTAACGAGAACTTCAACTTCATATACTTGCCATTTACTGTTAAGGGAATAGAATGGCATCATAAAACAGTGTTCCTGGAACAAACCCATGAGAGATTAAAACCCTGGAGGGATTCCCACTTCTATAAAGTTAATTGGATAAATCATACTTTATAATATAAAGAAAAAAATCAATACCAACTAATATTATGATACATAATGCGTTGTAAAGGAAAAACAATAAAATTGAATCCCTCTGGTATCTGTTCCAGTAACAATACTTTATGAATCAAATGCACATCTTAACAATAGAGCCAACCGTCATCAGGAATCGAAGACAGATACTATATGCAAACTAGAAACAAAATGAGAATAGTACTAAATCTGTTATTATGTGCTAATGTGTCCTATCTTTAAGAAGGGCTCTAAGTTTCTGGTAATTCCAGAGGCAAAGAACTCACTCCCGGTTCTGTATCCGTAATATGAAAATATAACAGGCAACTATTCAGACAGAAGAGGAAGGGGTGCAAAACAGGTGCTAGAAAAACGATTGGAAGAAGCTTAGGAAGTGCACGCCTTATTTCTTACTTTCAAGGTGGTATATGATTCTGTGCAAATTATCTGTGGAAGATCATGCATGGCACAGGAAATTCTGGGATATTGATGAGATTAATGAGGGCATATATAAGTTATCCTAAATGTCTATTTTCAATACAAGAAGAAAAGGGGTTGAAACTCTTTTAAAAAGTTCAATTTTAACAGTTTCTGTGAAAACTTTTAGGAAAAAAGTTCCAAAATAAAAGTTTCTAAGGAATTTTTTTTTTAATAAAGTTCCAGGTTTATAGGAAAAGTTTAATGAATTATTGAAGAACGTTTATCGGCTGTTCTACCTATCATGGGTGATAAATATTCAGGACGCAGTCATTATAAAGTTTTTATTGGTGCCGACGTTTCAACCTAAACATATGACGGGTGATCATGAGGGCTTGTTTCGAGCACTGAAGGTATTCGAGTACAAGTGCTCAAAACAAGCCCTGATGATGACCCACATGTTCAGGTTGAGACGTCGGTACCAATAAAAACTTTATAGTGATTGCGTCCTGAATATTTAGCATCCAGTGAAAGTTTAACTTTCATTTATATTGAGTTCTTAAAAAAAGTTCTGCTAAATGAAAAATAAACAGTAATTGGGCTTAGATTAGTTATAATTTGTCTTAAATGAATTACACATGATTCTAATGTGTCGTTTGATTGAGTAGCTATGAAATAAAGTTCTGTTAAAACCTTTACTTGAAAAGTTCTAGTTACAAAATAACTGAAAAACTATCGACAATAAAAGTTCCAGTTTTTAAAAATAAAAGTTTTTTTTTATTTCAAGCCCTGAAGGAAAAGTATTTGAATTCTTTGAAGTTTGAGGTAGTGAGATGAACTCTTATCGATGCTGTTCAGCTTTACCACGGAAAATGTGATAAGAACACCATGTAAAGACAGAAGGGTGCAAATGATGGGTAAATGAATCACTAAATCCTAGAATATATTGTTATATGTTATCATCTTTGAATATACATGAAAGTTTCTTCTACACCTTCACCTAGCCATCTATTTAACTTCTTATTTTCTTATAAGGTTTTAGTTTACAAAATTTAATGAATGGCAGTGCAAAACATTAACGGACGAATATGTGTTAAATTAAGTTAATGAAGGAATTTTTGCATTTTTTAATTTTAATTTACAATACTTTTAAGGTTTTGTTAAACTAAAGCATTTTTGCCTAATCTTCAGCATTCCACTTTTTGTGAATTTTTTAATAGGTAAGCCTCTTCCTATCCATAGGAATGATTGGCTTCACTCAACAGAATAGTAGAACCTACTATGGAAACCTAAAATTTCTCAAGTCTCCATTGTTGTCAAAGGCCACAAAATTAAAGCTATATAAAATGCTTATTAGACCAGTAGTCACCTATGGATTGGAAACCAGGTGTTTATCATTAGAGGATTGCCGTAAACTAAAAGTATTTGAAAGGAAAATAAAAGGTAACAATAAAATTGAGGCTATATTACAGAATCAAAACGTTATTAACTATATCAAGACAAGTAGGCTGAGATGGACAGAATAGAGAATGATGCATAGACGGGTACAGAAGGAAATATTTGAAGCACACTTCAGTGTGAAGAGGAAAAGAGGAAGGAGAGAAGCAGATGGAAGGATGAAGCGGAGAGAGACGCGAGGAAGTTAGGAGTTCGCAATTGGAAGAGAGTAGCACAGGACAGAGAGAAGTGGAGAAAAATCACTCAGGAGGGCAAGAGTCATGCTGGCCTATAGTGCTGGGGAGTTAGGTAGGTTGACTTCACTAAGCAAGAGTGTCTTTTAGGTTTTAAAGCAGGACCTTTCTCTCTCAGCCTTCTCCTGAACATCCATACTGAAATAACGACAGAACATAACTATTTACATAAGGATTTTCATCACTTTGTACTGATGTTTCCACGAAACAACTATTCACCAGTTACTTTCTTTCTTCCTGATCTAGATAGTGAAGAGAATGTATTAAGCACCCTGAGCCTAATAAGAGTATATTGAACAGCATAATAGGGGTCACTTCATATCAGATATGCTGTATCCTTTTTTTAAAATTAAAATAACCATGAAACATAAATTTTTCATTTGACTAATATAAAAAAACAAATTTTGATATAAAACTTATTATAATAAAAATCTAACAGTGTACTGAACTCCTTTCCTTACATTACGATGCTAAACAAATTGGTTTATAAAGGAGGAGCTTATTCCAGCAATAAAGAACAATTGTAACATTATGAAACAAACATTAAATTTATTCATAAAAGATATAGATATATACATATTATCTATCATTTGTTTATTTGGCTATCTGGAACTGTAGATGATACAAGTAAAGAAAATTACAACAATGGAATAGGTGTACCTTCAAAGAAGGATGTAACATTAAAAATAAATTAGTACCTGAGGTTTGTTTTGTAATCTGATTTTTATTGAAAAATTTATCAATGGTTCACTCATTCCATGCAAAGTATTGAAATGATTCTTCAAGCCTTTATTCTCAAGTTGAATTAATTTTAGAGAAGTTGTGGATTTCTTTTTCAATTCTTTCCTATTTCAAATTTTGTATCACTTCTTGTTAAAAATTTTTTAACTTTAAAATTGAAAACTTATGGGATTTACCAAATACAAGTCAAATGGCCAACCAAAGGGGAGAAAGGGAAAGAAAAATTCTTGCACAGCTGATTCTCATGAATGCCAGAAAATCTGTATAGCATCAATCAAAATGTATGAAAGAATAATCCATTAAATGAATCAATTTTGCCAAGTTTTGGAAGCAGCAATAAATATAAAATAAGTTTATTAAATGAGATAGGCAATGTTTATGGTGCCTAATACTTCTGAACAAAAGTGTGTATGATGCACTTTTTAAATACTTTAATTGAAGTTTAACATCAACAAATAAAAATAAATGCCAATCAATGGCTATGATACTTTATCCTCAATAAATTTCACAATAGAATGCTTGCTTCTTATCTGTACCAAGCGACAAAGTATCCAATTGATATATTCTAACCAATCTCCAATATTAAATTACAATATAAAGTTCAACTGATTAGAGAAAATTAAAACCTGTACACTTACTACAGATTTGGAACTGGAAGATTCAGTGCTAACTCGTTTCATTCGCATAGCAGGTTTAACAACAGTTGGAGTAGTAAGATCTATAGAAACAATAGGTTTTTTTTTGCCTTTAACATTAGATGTTTTTTTCCCATTTGACTCAAGTTCACTAGGTCTGCCTGTAAAAGAGTGAAATTTTATATTAACAAACAGTGAGAATAACAAATATGCTACTAATTAGTATTAATTAAAAAATGGCTGCCAGGATGATCAAATTTAACATAAAATTAAAGGTCACTCTTATATAGAAACATTATAATTAAATGCCCATGATATAAATTCTGTTTTTATTTTATTTTTAATTTTTATTTATATTTTGTATTAAAAGTTTAAGTTTATTTAAAGTTATTTATTATATGATTATTTTATAAAGTTATACACATCACTTAGTGCAAATTTTCTTCATGTATAAACTGAAATAATACATGGTAATATGTGTTCATTATTTCTTAATATTAATTTTGTTTCTGTATTCATTGACTAACTTTTCTGTCTTCCATGAAGACATGTTCTAAATCATATTTTTAATACTATGTATTGAAGTAGTATTTAAAATAATAAGTGTTCATAAAATACTTTTAATGTCTAATAAAAAGTATATTATTTTGTTTAATATATTAAATTATGTAAATCAATAGTTTATTAAAAAAAAAATTATGCTTGATATATAGAACAATGTAAAACCATCTTTTGTACTGCTAGAAAAAAGCATTTTCTGGAATCTTTTCCACCAGTTTAATGTGATTAATAAAAGTTTCAATATAATAGTGATGAGTGAACATAATGGTAATATATATATTTATCATTAAGTATTTTCATAAAGATTGAACGTCTACTATAAGTTTTGTAGTAGGTTTAATTATCTCTGGTTTATTAAATATTATAAAGTTGCTTTAATTGAAGTGAAGAACATAAATCAAAATATTTTTATATTTTATTAAATATTTGGTGGATATCTGGAAAATTTCTTTTTTAGTATCCTTTTTGATTAGTTATATTTTTTATAACTTAATATAGCTATTGTCTACTTATTATAGAACATGCAAAATCAATTTAACAAACTCAAGATAGAACTTTTATTGCAATACAATCTCTTTTGTTACTTAAACTAGTGTGTTATTTTTCATATATATAAAATTTTGTTACACTTCTGTATTATTTTATTTAGAATAATTTATCCTAATTTTGAATGTTTAGGCGTAGGGAGGTGGCGGTCCCATCGCCCGGTCATTGTACCGCAACCAGCCACTGGCCCTCCAGGTTGGGGGAACACTTACACGAACATTCACACACCAAGTACACTTTATACAGCACACTACAACACCTAAACACTACAGACAAAGGTCACCTACAGTACACACCCTAGGGTCACCTTCCCTAGGTAGCCGCCCCGGATGGGGGAGCTAGTCAGGATGCTCGGAGGAGGCAGCCCCTCTACCTGACTCGGGGGCAGTGGGCTGATAACCCACCCCACCTAAAGTACCTTATTACGAAACCTCAAAGAGAAGAAGCCGGACTGAATTACGGTAACAGACCCAGGAAACGCCTAAATGACCTAAGAATTGGATTTTGGAACATTTTATCATTACATAGACTAGGAGCACTTCATGCGCTCCTTGCAGAAGTGGACACATACAGAATCGACATAGCAGCTATCCAAGAGATCCGATGGATAGGACAGGGAATTATGGAGAAGAAGTACCATACACTCTACTATAGCTGCTATGAAAAGCATCACGTCTTCGGTACCGGATTTGTTGTGTCCAAATTCAATTGTTTCAAAATAAAAGGCACATTAAAAAACCATATTAATGTTTTCAAAAGAAAATCAAGGAGACTAAATCTTTTAAATGATTTAAAATTTACATTTCTTATAATCAAACCTTATAATAAAAGAATTTTCTTAATTAATCTTTAATTTCTCTTTTAATCTTAAAAATTTTTAAGGTTCTTTAAAAAAAAAAAAAAAATTGAATTGAATTGAATAAAAGGAGTACTTATCAAATGGAAAGCACTTCAGTCCAATAATTAAATATTTTTCTTAGTACATGAACGTCACTTAATACTGTATTTTAATTACTGTAAACACTCGACTTATTCTGTAAGCAGTCAAAAAGATAGAATATTATTCAATTCTAATTGATATTCTTGATCAAGTATAATATTTTCTTTTCTAATAGTATAATATACTATCTGGAAACTTATACATCTTTTAAAATACATAAAATAATGTTAGTAGCACAATGGATGTTCAGGCATCATATCAAGTACTTACCGTATGAAGTACTCCCACAATTCTTGACAGGTGACGTCATTTTATCACTTCCTGCACCAGTCAAATCTACAACTAATTAAAATACACACTTAAATAAAATGAACAATTTTAAAAGCGGGCATCAAAATCATTTCTCAATAGTCATTCCATCTCAAATCGACATAAGAGTCCAAACCTCACCACTCTAGATTTTCTTGAAATTTCCTATAGGTGTACTATTGATATCCTTGCACAGAGGCTATGTATCTTCTCTGTTTCTATGTATTGTAGAGGCTAGATTTAAAATATATTTGACTTAAACTTAAATTTAAAGATTTAACATAAATAAATATAAAAAAATATAATTGTCGGCAAAAATAAGGCAGGGTCAAACTACCTGGGCGACACTAATGGACAGATACACTAAACACTAATGGACAGATCTGCGAGAGGAACGCTGTATACCTGAGACAAGAAAAAGGTGGAGGTGAGGCTAATGGGGTTTGGGTTCCTGGTCCCCAACTTGGGCCAATAACAGATAAAAGGTTTACATCTTTCTTCCAGAGACCAAACGGACAAGCCGAACAAAGAATAGGTGGAGTCCCACATATGCGGTTTCCTTACTACAAATTGTAGGCACCAATAGAAAAAGAAAGGAAAAATCTATTGGAAGATAGAAAAAATGAGGAGTCAAGCCTAGGGGAGAGGAGACAGCCAAGAGAAAGATATGAAAGCAGAGAGTTGAAGATAAGCGATTAAAGACAGTCGAGTTTGGAGAAAGCAGAGGGTTGGCACTGGCTAGGACTCAAGCGAAGCGGAATTAGAGGCTTTCTCGGAGATGACGGTAACATAAAAAAACAGTAAGAAATAGCAAAGCGCTCCACTGTACAACCAGCTAAGTTATAATATTCATTCAGAAATGATCTTGTACACTTGTTTGGCAATCAATAACTTATTAGTAACTTAAATCAGTCCTCATACCAGCAGCATTCTCAAATAATGATTGTACATATGTATTTTTTGTTCGATTTAGAATTAGAGTAACAAATAGTAAATTGTAAACATACCATTGGAAAAGAAGTCTAATAGAAATTATATTATTCAATCTAGAATACTACAGTAGGGGGTCTGTGGTATCTAATCTTTAAATACATAACTGATATATTTTAAAGTAGCTCGGCTCCCTAGCGGAACCAATAAAAATACAAATATCAATATCAAATACAGGAAATACAAATAAATGCGGTTTCTGAAACTACCTTACCGCCTTAGAAAAGCGGTGTGGAGAGACATAGCACTTGTTCTAATTTTAGTAAACGTGCCAAAGCGAGTGCGGTCATGTCGCTCAGATGGGGGATCCCAAGGAAAGTAAAGACAGAAGGGTTGGATCCACCCAAGACAAGATGTTAAACACCTGGAAATGAACTGTTGCTGCTCTGCTATGCATAGACAGAGCTGTCAAGTGGAGGCTGCTCAATGAGTTCAAGACTCGTAATCGGATTGTGGCGATTATGTATGCATGTACAATTGAGATAAGACTTGAGGAAATGTGAAATATTTATAAGATATGTCAACTCTTTTTACAGAGCTGTTAACTTCTCATATGGGTTAAAAAAAAAAAACATCACAGTAGAATCACATAGAAGCGTACCTAATTTAGCTAGTGACGTAGGATGAGTAACATTTTACAAAATTTCCCATACACTTTTCTATTGTTATATTATAGATATATTATATAGATTAAGAAAATTTAATACAACTCAATTTCATTTTCATAGAAATTAAATATTTTATATTTACTCCTTGAATTGTAGTTGTTAATCACTGAGCAAAATATAAATGTCAGATGATAATGGTTTCAGTGTTAAAAAAAGTGAAAAATGAATTTAGATATCCATCAATTCTAGTCTATACACGGAATGTCTGGTAAATAATGGGAAACATTTAAATAGAGATGGTAAAGCCACAAAGTAACAAAAAATTGTAAATAAGCAGTGGTCCAATTCCATGTAAATAAATAGAAAATTTAAGTTTTTTTTAAGGCCAATTTTTTCGTTGCATAGGGTACAACTAAATAACCATTCAATTTAGGTTAGTACCAATTACAGCATAGTACACTAGATATATTTTATCTTTGAATTAATGTGGAAATTTAAACCATGGGTTAAAATTATTTTAAGGTGCTTAAATGGATGCTACAGCCCTTGTAGAACCTGGGCCTCTACCACCACTCTTCTCCACTCCTCACGGTCCACAGTAATATTCCTTCAATTTCTGATCCCCAGCCTCCTCAAGTCCTCTTCCAGATCATACAACCATCGCTGCCTGGGTCCGACCTCTTTGTTTTTTTCCTTCTGGAGTATCATTCAGCATCATTTTTGGAAGTCTACTGGGATCCACTCATTCAACATGAGTCTGCCCTTCTTAGTAACACTAAGAATGTCTGGCTCACCATATAACTTCATTAACTCTATGTTATTTCTTATTCTCCATCTATGCTGCTCTCTGACAGTTCCAAAAATCTACCTTTGTACTCTTCTCTCCCAGACCAGCAAGGCTTTCCTGTTTTCCTTGGTCATAGTCCACGTCTCACTGCCATACAATACAACTGGTCTAATCACAGTTTTATATATTACTAGTTTTGCTTTCCTGGACAGACTTTTGTATCATAGCGCCTTTTGCAGAGCATAGAAACATCTAGTTCCTGCAACCATCCTGCCTTTTATTTCCGCTTCCAAATTATTGTTTTCTGTCACTACCACGCCCAAGTACTTGAATTTATCACAGTTGCGAAACGTGTCTTCACCCAATTCAACAGTATCTCCTCTCTCTCTGATATTGTCAGGATGTTTTCATATACCTCATCTTTTCTGTGCTTATAATGAGTCCTAACTCTTGTGCTGCATGCTTGAACTCTCCTATAGCACCGGCTAGTGGTGCTTTAGTTCTCCCTGATATAACATCATCAGCATATACCATGTGTTACATGAGCTTATGAAAGATGGTTCCACAAGGGTTCGTCTTGATTTTCCAAATTGCAACCTCTAAAGTGAGATTGAATAGTACAGGAGATAATGGGTCCCCGTGTCTTAAGCCACTGTTAACCTCGAAACTATCTGACATATCCACTCTGGTTTTGATCATACAGCTTGTCCTTTCTTTAGTCATTCTGGTCAATATTATTAATTTAATAAATGTTAAGTTTTGTTTTTCATAAAGTTGAGAATTATTCCCATAAAAAAAAAAATCTGGTGTGATGGAGGTATCACACAACTTCCACTTACCTGTAAATAATTTGCTGACTAAATATTTCAGATGTATAAGTATAAACATATCTGTGCCTGTTTATAGTATATATTTATATTAAGAATGGACATTATATATGTATATATACATTTATCATCCCTTCCCCTCTGACTATGTTTACCTACATTTTGCTATCTGAAAAAGGACAACTGGGAAATCCCCCCTCCCCCCTGACCTTTTCACTTACCTACCAAATGTGTCAGTACTTGAACACCCTCAGTGTAATGATGGGGTGTGACAGAGATTTTATGTTACAGCTCCGACAGTGACAGCTCCGGGAAAATCACTGTGACTAATCAGTGATTTTTTTTTTGTGATAGTATATAATGTATATAATGGCTCATTGGCGAAAGCGTCACTGTGAAATCATAGTTTACGTGTTTAAAATTAAATTAAAATAAAAAAAAAAAAATTTTCTATGATAAATTTTATATTTGACGGGGGAAAATATTTCTGGGATCCCTTGGTTTCTGTATACAGCCCTGCAAAGCATATTTGAATTTATTTAATTTTTTATTTATATTTTAACAGTTAAATGAAAAACTTTCCGTTAATTATTTCAGACATGACTCATTCAGAAACATATGGCAATGAATGTTCAATTCATCAAAGTTCAAAAAGTATTTTTAATAAAATTTGACGAATAACTATTATTTTAGAAATAATTATTTCATGATTATTCGTTTATTAAATAAATGAAGTCAACAATGCCCAGATCGCTGAAGCGAAAAAGAAGTGATAGAGCTCTGATAGCTGTGATTTCACAGCGCCAACAGTGATCGTCACTGTTGGAGCGCAGTGATAAGAAGTATGATTTCACAGCGTTTATCACAATTAGAGTGCTATTCTCAGTGCTGTATCCAGAATTCTAGTCGTTAATTCTAATTAAATGATTTTATTCGATTACAATTTTAACTGTTTTTTTTTAAAAAGAAAAGTAAGTATATTATCAACCTGTAGGTACCTCCTCAGTAAGTTTATCAATTGAATCAAATTAATTAATCACAGTAAAAATATGAGAAAGTAAATATATTAATTAAGCTTCATGTTGGACTAGATTTTTTTTCTAATTCTGAATTATGTTGAATAGTTATAAACGATTATTTTACCTTCATAAACAGATATTTTTCATTATTGTGAATTGATACTATAATACAATTTAAGTAACATAAATCTTAAAAACAATTTAAGGCATAAAAAATCTGATGCGCGCAACACAAACTTCTGGCAAAGTTGGGCTATTATAAAATGTTTGAAGTGAATTTGTAACGGAGCTACAGCTTAAAGCTAACAAATCATTAAAACCATTATAGTAACAAAAACCCTGTTTATTATATCAATGGTAGGCACTAGCGGATCCAGGATTTGGTTTTGGAGGGGAGGGGGCTTCAGCCCGAAAGCTTTTTTTTTTCATAAAAATGATAATTACTTTGGAAAAAAAAGAAACTAACTATCTATATAAAATGGTGTTTAAGTGATTCCTTAAGTCCTTTTAAATGTAATTACATGAACAATAATACTTTAAGAGATAATTTTTTAATATACTTTTCAATTCAGCCCGAAAGCCCCCCCTCCTCCCCTCCCCGTAGATCTGCTCGTGACGGTAGGCAACAAAAACCTCGTTACTCCATCTGTTTTTGTAAACCACATAACTCCAGTCTATGAGCTATATATCTACGTATATGCCTAAAGAGATTGTATCAGTACATCAACCCTATAATGATTATGGATTGTTCGCCTCTAAGTTATTTAACGTCAGTTTCCATTGTAAAGTTTACTAAAATGAAATTACGATATTTTCATTGCCTGCCATAGATAGGTCAAAAGTTGTCACACTAATTTTAAGTAGATAATATTTAAATTTTCTAATACGTTACATGACGATTTTTCGGAATAAACAGACGTTTATACCTACTTGTCTAAATATAGTATCAGATCTAGAATTATTAAACTACAGTAAATGTATTTAAGGTTATAAACATATGTTTTATACATCCATGAAATATTTTTATATTTCACTTCTTCTTTCACACAAGTACAATGAAATAGTTTTTTAAACAATGTCATTGCCTTTATTAGATGGATTTTAAATACTTTTTTAAACTTTCAAAAGTTTCACTCTCCATTACTTTCTACATTAGATATTGTTTTTTCTAAAATTCTCCGCTTTTTAACAGTATATTATACGTATACCTTTTAACTATTATTTTCAAGATTCATTTTTGAGCTAAATAAGTATTTTTTCTGTTTTCTTTTCCTTTATTCAGTAATCAAATTCTTTCAAAACTTATATTTAGCCTTTTTTCATTATTTATATCAATGAGAAATAGTTTATTATTTAAAATAAACCAAATTAAAGATACTTCAGAAAAAGACATGTTGAACATTAGGCATTTAAGCCCTGTAAAGTGACATCGATGAGGATGAGATCTGAACGATATTAAAGACTACTTAATTATTCATTCATACACCGAGTTTAATCAAAATCGTTACGAGCCGTTTTTGAGAAAATCTTAAAAATGTGTTTAATCGATTCTATAAAGTGCCACTTCCGGTAAGCCAATTTTGACAAAAACATTGCTGTAACATCTCAATCATATAAAAACCTTAAATATACAATTTCACTTTCATACAATTTTTCGTTTTTGAGCTAGACTGATAACATAAACACAGACCATTTTGCGGGACTTGGTTATTTGGACTCAAGGGACCTCAAAATGTGTATTTCCATTGAAAACTCAGATTCAAAAATTTTCACGATTACAATACTTTCACTTACTATATATTACATATATAGGTAAATGTACGTAAAAATTAAATCGAAAATTCAAATTGTTTAAATAAATTTTCTTTTATAATTGGTAAATGGTTGACTCTCGTGGATAATGAAGAGAAGAATAGTTGGGGTGGTCAGTCAAAAAAGAAGGCAAAAATAAATATTATCATTTATTTTTGCCTTCTTTTTTGACTGACCACCCCAACTATTCTTCTCTTCTTAATTTTCTTTTATCTTCATCTATATAATCTTATAAATCATAGGAAAGGACATGGAAAATTCTATAAAAGGCGGCATCCATCCCATTCTTGCAAAACTAGGAAAGCTCTAAAGTAATTCTAAAATTTGCTGTTGGTAAGTTAATAGCTTCGTAATTAAAAAAAAAAGATACATTGCTAAGATTTCATATTTTTCCAAATCTATCAATAATTATCATAACATCTATGTCAAATATCAAGAAAATCTGTGATGATGACATTTAAAATTGTCTGTATTTGAGCTAAATTGACATGGAATAATCTAACTAGTTATCAATTCAATAAAAAGAGGGAGGTTTATTTTTTATTTTTTTTTTTTTAGACTTAGTATTATTCTTGTCTTTTTTTAATACTCTATGTTTTTGCATTCATACCAGCTGGCATGATACCACGGAATTCAATAAAAATAGAAAAACTGATTATTATAAGCAACAACAGAACAAAAAAAAAAAAAAAATCAAATTAATGTTTTACAGTTTAGTTAAAATAAAACTGTGAAAAGAAAACAAGTCTGTTAAGCTCTACATTTGATTTTATGTGGGAATATATCCTGACATATATAGAAAATAAATTTATAAATGAACAATGAACAAGTCGACACATATATTTTAACATTTTAAGCCAAACATTAAATAAAGAACAAGTATTAAACTTCATTATGGTTTATATAACAGAAATATAGCACTCAATAAAGTTGACACAGCAAGAAGAAAACTACTTTTTCTTTAAATAAATTTTATTTTCAAAACCATTAATGTTTATTACTTCTTCTTTCCTATTCCATCAGTTAACGTTTTCATAGAAAACAGGTTTGTGTATTGTTTAAAACAACAATCTAGGTCCAATACTTACCAACAGGACGTCTTCTAACAGAACAGGAAGGACCTGATTTTGTAGGGCCTATATCTAAATATAATAAAAATGCATTAGTATGATATATTTATACAGGCTTAAGCAAAAAAAAAAAAGTACAGAGGTTGAAACTGTTCAATAGAAACTATTTTAATGTTTTGTTTGAAATTCATTTAATAAATGAAACAAATTATGGAATCTAAAGTAGGCATATTTAAAGAAATTATAATAAAAACAACTGTATTTTAGTTATATAAAATATAATATAATATTCAACATGCATAAATCAAATAATTTCTTTTAATTTTATTGATTATAAAATAATTTTAAAATTGAAGAAAATAGTAATTTGTCAGGATTAGTCAATTGAAATCACAATAAAAGAAAATATGCAGATTTTGTTCTGATAAATTGTAAATTTATTTAAATGTTCATAAACCTAATACATAGGTAGGTACCAGTCAAACCTTTTCTAAACATAATGGGAAGGTAAGGATTCATACCGTGGGTTCCCTAAGAAATAAATATCAACTCGCCCAAGCAAGATTGGAACCGGCTCCGCTAGACTTCAAAATGATAATGCAGACAATGTTCTAACATGTTTGGCGAGCACAGACTCTATGGCAGGAACATCTATTTTATATCATTATTAGGACTGATGGCAGCAATCCATTTGGTGCCACTGAAAGAAACTGAAGGTCCTTGAGGGAAAAGAACATTCCTATTAACTCCTAAAGGCTATAAAATCAACTTAACAGGAACCAAAGGATGTTGTGTGCCTAAATAGTCAGAAATCAAGAGTGTTTTGCCTGCAGCAGAGAGTCAAACAAGGCGACTATTTGAGCCCCCTTCTCTATATTGTATATATTGGTAAGATGGCCTCAATTTGCAAAAGAAATAACACAAATGCACATGGGCCAATAGAACTCACATCTTGTAGTCATACAGTTTCTCACTATTTTTAGATATTATGCTCATTGCCGAATCCCTGAGCTACTTCAGTTGGCAATAATGGAGCGTAATGAAGAATTGAAGAGAGAGAATGACTATTAATTCCAAAAAGCATACTTTAGCACGGTGATCAGTAGAGTAAATCTGGTAAAGTGGATTCAGAAAGCTTAAGCAGAATCTGTAAGACTTATTTCATCTACTATTAGATCTGAAAAAGCGGACATTTAATCAAGTCAATCTTTCTAGTTCTCTAAAGAGTAGAGGGTTCTGAATAAAAGCCTATTAAGCCATGCCACAGCTGCTGTAACCAAGTCTTTTAGGGAAATTGTAGAGAAAACATGTTTGGAATAACATCTGTGATATGATGTCTGCCACATGGAACATCACAGAAACCCGATTAAAACCATGGAAGTGAGATTGATGGAAAGAAGACCAAAAGGGCGGCCAAGAATCTCCTATATCATCCACATGTAACAAATAAGGGGGATGCATAGGGAAGACATTGGGAGAAATGAGAAACCTTCCTAGATACAGAAATGGGTGGCACCAATGGCTGGAAGTACTCTCAAACTAATTGGTGACGGATGGAACAAAATTTATTGTAAAGAAGATTACGTTGAATACATTACAATAGATTTAACATGATTTTATTATTATGAGAACAAAAAAGAACACTTAATTATTCACTATTATCATTTATAATAGTACAGAGATCATATGAGTTTCTTTCAATTAATTTTCTTTATCTATATAAATTAAATTCCTTTATCGATGGCTAGAAGTACTCCCATACTGAACGGCAATCAATGGAAGAAAAAGAACATTACATTAAATACATTAAGGTAGATTTAAATGTAGGGTAGATTATTATTTTGAGAACAATAAAGAACACTTAATTATTTACTATTATCATTAATAATAGTACAAATATGATGTGTTTCTTTTAATTAATTTCCTTCATCAATATCCCATTCCAATTTTTTTTCAATAGAAAGAAAAATAAGATCTAATGAACTAGATTAAATATGAAAGAATAATAATAATCCATGAGAAACTTTAAATTATAATAACAACAAAGAAGGAACCTCAATGTTTTCAGCACATTAATGAAATAAACTTGTAAAGTTTGAAAATTACAATTCATACAGTATGCTGATATTAACTAATTGAATTTGAAACTTATTCCTGCTTATCCCTCAAATTTTATATTTTATAATGAAATCATATATTACGTGATATAGTCTCCAAATCTTCTGATGACACATGATCGTCCTGCTCAGTTAAATCGATACCTGTAAAGTATAACAGAAATTTTGTACCAATTTTCAAATTGGATTCGGTGATAAAGAGACACACTATTTATTAAAGTAGTGTTTTATTACATTTGACAACGTTTCAAACGATATTGTAGGTCAGATCATTGGTAAGTCAGAAACTCCTAACTTCTGGCAGTACTAGATGAAAAGTTGTAATGAAGACTTACAACGTAGGTTGAAATGTTAGAAAATATAATGAAACATTACTATAATATATAGTATTATACATTGACTCCACCCCCTACCAACTTCTCCTTAAATTAGAATTACTGTCAATTACCTCCATAATGAATGTCAATAGAATAATGAATTAACTGACTTCATCCAACAGTACTAAATGAAATACCCTGATGAAGATCTAAAACTTAGTTTGAGACATTAACAAATGTAATAAAATACTGCTATAATATATAGTATGTCAGTTCACCGCAAAGGAGAAGTTGGTCAATTCTCCTTAAATCACTTTAAAATTGTGAACTAATGGTTGCCGGCAGATAATATGGTTGGGAATTTGGTGGAAGGGTGGAGAAAAGGAGAACACACAAATAAAATAAAAATAAAAAAATTTATGTTCTCACTGACTGCAACCTCACAACCATATATCAATTTAAATTAAAGTAAAAATTACATTTTAAATTTTTCACTTGGCTTTAAGACTTCCAGATGGATTGCTTCAAGCTATATGTCCCAGCCATCTTAACCTCTTTGTCTTTATATCATGAGGTATTGATCTTAAAGTAGTTAACAATTTGAATTTGAACAATTGAAATTATAACTAAAGTTATAGTAACTAATTATGATATTAGCAAAGCAATGTACTTCAATTTAAAAAAAAAAAAAGACCTTTTTTAATTGGGTACACTTACTGGCTATAGGAGTTGAAGCTGGTAATCTCCTTCTTAACTTAATTGGAGAAGAAACGTGCTTTGGAGGCTTCCCCTTATCACCCTAAAAATAAATCAGTTATATTCATTCGGTAAATAACTTAAACATTACATAAGAGAATAAAAATTTTCTTAAGTAAAAATATCATCACTAAAGTACCTTACCAGATAAATAACACCCCAGTTATGGGGAACTGAAGACCTAGGCACGATTTTGCGGTGTGGTTGGTAAAAATCTTCAGTCTGTAATAAAGGAGACTAACAATGAACATCTGAGAACGTTTTCGCTATTGTTCCATCACCAGTCATGCAAGTTAATGGATAGAAAGCATATAGATACAGTGAGTGAATCATGATACAGATTAAACAACACATATTTAATTTTTTAATGATTACTTATCGTGAAAATAAAAGGAGTATAAGTCACAATTTCTTGAATTCGGTTACTTTTTTTACAATCTAGTTCATGTTTATCAGAATATCTGTTTCAACAGTAGGGTAAATGCACCAGTAGCTGACGTGCTTAAAGAAATTTCTTTGAACTTTTATGTATAAAAATTTAAATGTTGATGTTATGATATTTTTTATGGATTCAATCTATAGACCTATTTCTCATCTTACTATGACATATTTCAAATCCATGAAACACTTATTTAAATTTAAAAAAATTGAAAATTAAGAGAATAGTTTTGTTGTACCAGCAGCTCACACTGTTTGATTTTAAATGTTCGTATAGCAGAGAGAGAAAGGATGTGATTAAGGAAAATTTCATATTCTTCACTTTAAGATTAACAGAAATTGCCCTTAACTTATTATAAAACCAACTTCTTGCGTTTCCCAACTTAAATTTAACAATAACTGCTGGTAACTGTCAAGAATTTGTTTTTGGCAATAAGAAAACCTATTTTTGCTTTATATTTAATACAGTTCATAAGCAACTTTTTTTCTTTTTACGAGACAGCAGTGATTGGTCTTATTATTAAGACCCGTTATATTGAGTATATCTCTTTGAATTTATGAGAGCACATGCCTGGCAAAAGTCCCCACCATAAAGCTCCAGTAGCTGACACCCATTAAATATTCAATTTCTTCATTGAATAAAGTTAAAAACAAAATTTAAAAACACTCCAAAAAAAAACAATCAAACAAAATTTTTGGGATAAACCTGAGTAGTTAAAGAGAAAAAGGCAAACCTAAGGTGTGCTGCTCTTACAGACAGATAGTTGTTCCTGGGACACTATGTGGACTGTGAGGAACCTTCCTAATTTGCCACTCATTATTTCAGTTGCGATTTCCGGTAAGACTAAAGCAAAGCAGACAAAAATAAAAGGAGAACATATATAAACTACAAAAATATGAAATAGAGGTCTAGGAGATCCTGAAATTTTATTATTCCCATTTTTCGTGGTGTCAGCTATGGGTACACTGTCAGCTATTGGTGCTTTTACCCTACAAGTTATTATATTTTCCTGATAATTTAGAAATGGAAATTTTTAGTATAAGCCAGAATATTATCTAATCTGTATAAGGTGTTCAAGTAATTTTTTAAAAAGCCATGATAATTGACTTTATGGTACATTCCATTTGAATTAAACTTTTTTTTAAAAAATACATATTTTGAAGTTTTCAAATTTATTCCTTGAATAGTTATTGTAAACTAGAGGGCAAAATATAAATTTGGAATGGTAATGGCTGTAGTGTTAAAAAAATTGAACATAAAGCTCTATTTCCATGAAATGATTATCATTCCAAATTTATACCTGTGGTTGACAATAACTATTATTAAAGGAATGCATTTAAAAAAATATGTACTTTTTAACAATAATTAGATTAAAATTATGAGTTGAGTTTTAAGAAATTTTATTTTACCTAAACATATATATTCTTAAATTAAAATTTTTTTTTTCTGGGAAGTTGTATGATATTCTTTGTTATTTGGCAATGATTACTTCCAATTAACAACAATTGAATTTATTTGTTGTATTATCAAAATGCATGTATACAAGTTTACGTTTCGGGATATTTACTCCCATCTTCAGAACCACAATCCCAATGATCTTGTGGATACATGGCTTAAAACTAATGTGCTCCATCGTCAGTTCCTAATTCATGTTGTAAAAAATCTAGGTATATAACATCTAGAGCAACATCTTGTTTTTAGACTAATTATTGGGTGTCTCACTATGTAAATATTTACTTTTTAACAATAATTAAATTAAAATTATGAGTTGAGTTTTAAAGAATTTAATTTTACCTAAACATATATATTCTTAAATTAAAAAATAACCTGAAAGCTAAATTAGGAAAGCTTCTACAGTGATTACAAAACTTGCTATTATTGGTATTTGGATCCCTTTATGAGAAATTTATAGCTTTGCAATTTGAAAACCAATATACATATCTCAGTAAAATTTCATATTTTTTCCGAGTCAATAAAAACAAAGCCATGAGAAATTTCAAGAAAATGGAGGGAAGAGGACACTTGTTTGAAATTAAAAAAAAGAAAGTATTAAAATAATTAATTCTAGCCTGTCAATAAAGCAACTGTATTAGAGAAATGTTGAGTGAAATAAAATTCAAATATTACATAAGATAAAACAGTTTAAGGAATAAATTAAATTTTTTTAGAGGGAGATGATGTCCAGGGGTGACGAATGGCTAAGGAAGAGATAACAATGGTCCACAGATAAATTAGCCACTCAATATGTGACATCAACTACTGCAGGAAATTGATATTTCCCTTTTTAGCTAAAACTTTGTTTTCCTTAGGATTAAGAAAAATGCATTTTCTTAGGCATCAAACATATGATGTGCATCATCCAGGATATGTAAACGACTTTTTCTCCAAAGTATGACACGACATTTAAATACCATATCTTCAAATTTTCCAGTGTCACAGAAGCTCGAGATGAAGTAAGGCTACAATAGGAGAAATTTGTCGAAATTATGATTTGTTTAAATTATGAGTGAACACACCTGATTTTTTACTATTACAACTAGCTATCATTATAAAAAATAAAATCTTGAACCACCTGAGATGCACAGACATTGGGGGGACAAGAGGGAGAGATCGCCCCACCCAAAATAGGTGAAATCATTAGGCATAATGGCCTTCATGGCCGCAGTGCATTTTGCGACAAAAAAAAAAAAAAGTGCTATCATGAGTCCTAAAGCATAACCTCGGTTTACGTTTAATCATTAAAATCTATCATCTTTAAAGGGATTTCTCCGATATAAACTTTTTAAGAGATGTTAGATACTGTCAATAACCTGATATTTAGCAACAGAAAAACCTATTTTTCCCATGTATTTAATCTTCTATATTCTTCTTCACGAAACAAAATAGTGGGTGGTCCCATTTTATGATGAATTAGGTATTTTCTTCTGACTTTATAATGTAATACACGGGATTCTATTTTTACGTGAGGCAGCCACTATTGACATGCTTCTGCGAACATCAAGGGCTTTTTCCATGTATTCCTGAGCATATTTTAAAATATTTTTTATATCAAAGACATAGAAAATAAGCTGGAAGAAAGAAAAAAAAATCAAACGTTGTTCCAAAAGGTGACATGTCTTGTTCCAGTATTCGATACCCCGTCAGCTATTGAAATATAAAATCTACATTGCAAATATTATTCAGTGGTAAGCCTATATAATGAAGTAGATTAGTTAAATAGGAGCAATGATGTTTTTGCAGAAGTTGTGCAATGACCCCAGTAGCAGTCAAATTGCTGGAGAAATGGCTAATTGGAGGTTCCAGTAGCTGGCACCCATTAGATTTTTCAATTCCTTCAAAAAAATAAGTTCCAAATAGATAAAACAAAATCTATAAAGACTCTAAGAAGAAATAAAACAGAAATTTGAGAATAATACAAAGTAATTAAAAGAGAAGAAAAACTGTACCTTAGTATCGTTACTGGTATACGGTTGTTCCTGGGACACTAAATCAACTCGCAGGAACTTTCCTGATTGTTATTTACATTACTTGTTATTTAAACAACTTTTCCCACTAATACTAAAGCAGAATAGACCAATATTCAAGGGGATATTCAGAGCCAGGATATACAGAAGGCACTAATATTTAAAATAGAGGCCTAGGAAGCCTTGAAATCTTATTCAAATGTTTAAAGGATGATGTAAGGCACTGGTACACTATCAGTTACTGATGCTTTTACCATAACCTGATGAATATTTTGATCCACAAACTTAAAGTTGGTTGCCTTGATAACTCAATTCATCAATTTTTTGTCTTTGACTTACTATATACAATATTTTTTATCAAATACAAATCTATTTATCCATGTCTCACCTGACCAGTTACAACTGATAAATGTTTCAGTATAATTTCTGCTTAGTCTTTTTTTCTGACACAATTAAAACGGAGCTTTTTATATTTATCAGCAGAACTCAAGATTTTTATGCAATGGCATATTTCATTAGCACACAGTTTTTAGATTGTTGATCAAATATTAGGAATCAATGAACTTAGATGCAATTAGTCAAATTAAATAAAGCATATTTGATAATAAAAGCTCCAAATTCAATTAAGTAAAAAATAAAATGCAACTAGGACCAACCATACAAATACTTGAACTTTAGCAATTTACTATGGATGGAATATATAAAATATTAATATCAGAAAACTTACAATTTGGAGTTTTGAAACTGATGGAGCTTTAAAAGTTGGTTGAACAGTGGTCACACTAGGTGGATTCATTTCTGAAAATAATAAATAAAATATCAATATGTATTTTCTAAACAAAAAAAAAAAAAAAAAATAATAAAAATAATTAATATGATATTAATATTACATATATTTTCCCATAATCAGTGCCACCCATTGATTATATAATTGTCAATATAAGAACAGTTAGGTGATTACCCATAAATTTATAAACTAACTTAGCTATTGATTTATTTAGTCATTTCATAGCTATTCACACTTCACTTGGTATCAAGAGCGGTCTCTTGACTACTAGTATCAAGGGAAGGAAATTTATGTTTTTTTTCTGTCCTCTTTCATGCATTTTAGGCTATACGGGGTTTTCCTGGGCCAAGGAATTGTGAGCTGGGGATTAATACCAATTAAAAACCTTCAGAGGGAGTTAAAAACCTCCTGGCACCGGGACACGAACTCGTAACTATTTTATTTGATAACTTCAGTTATCAGGTTGCCGGAAAACACAGTGCTGTGCACACACGTTACCCCCAAGGAAAGGGGACTGCAAAATCAGACCATTTCCATCGTATACTGTGCCTTATCTATTTCTTTTTAAAATTACAACTTACAACAGTTTTTTTTACTATATTTCCAGCTAGCATTATACAAGCTAATACAGCCATGCGTTTGTGTCAAGTTCTTTTTCTTTTATACGATATCATCGGTTTATAACAAAAAATGCACTAAATAACATTCAATAAAACTAAATCGCAATGCATTTTGATGAACTTTCTCTCTATGAAATCAGAACTTTGTGAAACTATATTTTATATGAAAAGGCTTTATGTAACTTTGATGCACATACTATCTATTGCTAAATAACACTAAAATTCACAAAATGTACTTAAAAGTTAGCTCGATCAAAAACGTAGTTAGTGACTTTTTGCAAAAAACTGATCATTTTATTAGCATTTTGTACAAAATTTTTATCAGAAGATACTCTACTTTTCCTCCAGAAACACAATAAATAAAATCTGGTGCGCACAACACACAACTTTCACTTACCGCTCTACTTTGAATATAAATTATTTTCTGGCTAAGTCAGGATATTATCTGAAGTGCATTATTAATGGAGCAAATTACAAAAACCCTATTAGTAACGCCATCTGTTTTTGAAAACCACATAACTCCAGTCCTGAGCTATTGCATATGCCTAGAGAGATTTGAAAGTATATCTGTATATTAAACCTATAAATGGTTTTGGACTGTATGACTACTAATACTGTTATTTTCCATTGTTATGTTTACTAAAATGAAATTACGAGATTTTAATGTTTTGTCATAGATAGGTCAAAATTTGTCACATTAATTTGAAGTGGATAATGTTTGGATTTCACATAGGGAAAATTCATCAAATTATTCACAAGATTACATGAAGTTTTTTCGGAATAAACGGACGTTGATACCTAATTGTAATATAAAATAATATCAGATCTAGAATTATTAAACTATAGTAAATGTATTTAAGGTTAAATATATCCTTTATATATTCGTCACTCTCTATTACTTTCTACAAGATTTTATATTAGATATTGTTTTTTTTCTAAAATTCTCCGCTTTCCAACAATATATTATAAGTATACTTCTGACTAGTATTACTGGAAATTCATTTTCGACCTAAATAAACATTTTCTCTTTTTTCTTCATTTTACAAAAGTTATATTTAGCATTATTTCGTAACTCCTATTAATGAGAGATAGTTAATTATTTAAAATAAAATAAATTAAAGGTACTTTAGAGGAAGAGATGTTGAACATAAGCATTTAAGCCATGTAAAGTAACATCAATAAGGATCAGTGAGGGATAAGACACCAATGATATTAAAGACCATTTAATTCTACAATGATACACCGAGTTTAATCAAAATCGTTAGAGCCATTTTTGAAAAAATTGTAAAACTGAATATAACCATTGATATAAAGTGCCACTTCTCGTTTGCCAATTTTAACGAAAAAGTTGCTGTAACATCCCTAGCATATAAAAACCTATAATATGCAATTTCCCTTGCGCATAACTTTTATTTTTGAGTTAGACTGATCACATAATACATATACACTCACACACCATTTAGTGGGCCTTGGTTATTTAGACTCAGGAGACCTCAAAACGTGTATTTCGGTTGAAAACTCTGATTCGAAATTTTTCACGATCGCAATATTTTCCCTTGCTATACATTACATCTATATAGAGGTAAGGGAAAGTAAAAATGATGCAAAAGTGCAATTAAATCAATAAGGTCAGCATTTTTCAGATTTTAGAATATAACATATATAAGTATTTTTAAATATGAAAGCACTAATATAATAATATATTTTATCCTTATTTTATGAGGAATCACTATTTTTCATTATGATTCTCAATGTTTTGAATTGGGGTAAATTGTAAGTAAATTGCATGTAGTTTCAGAATAATCCTTATAGCTTATAAAATAGAAAAAATTCAAATAAATTTTAAGAAAATAATTGTTGAAAGTGACTGTGGGCCTACTCCTGTATCAAATAATTAATGTAAAAATATGTTTTAGTTTTAGTAACTTGTAGAGTGATATTTCACAATTCTTCTTATGCCTAATGGTGCAATTTTATGCGGAACAACTCATAATCGTTACTAAAATATCTAAAAAAATTAACAATCACAAAAATAAAAACCAGAATGAAAACAAAGCATGTTCTAAATTAATAAAAAAGAAGGCACTACCTACTGGTAGTGAGGGTTGCCGAACTGCTTCTGCACTGCTAGCTTTAGTCAGCTACCTGGTTCTTATTAATATTGATGTGGCTGCCTAAATGATTAATGGTCATAACTAAGCTTAAAAAAAAAAAAAAAATAGCCAAAGAAAAAAGCTTATTATATTTAACCTTTTTATTTTATTTATTCCACCCTCCCATGCCACAATGGCAATACGGGTGTTTGCGATAGTATGTTTTAGGCATGAATACTTAATAACACACTACTACTAGATGTGCACACAGTTCTTCTGTTCTATCTTCTTCCTTCTTCTTTCGGCCTAGCTTCCAGAATCTGGAGGTCTTTCTAGCGCTTGTCCTCTTCTTCTGCGGGCACCAATGGAAGTGAGCGGGCCCACCACTGTCTTCCATCCATATATGAAATCCTTAAACCGCGGGAAATATTCCTCGCTGTCTAACTGAGGAAACTCATTTTCAGTGAGGACATAGATTCCCGCAGCTCTTGTCATTGTCGCTCTTAACGTTTCAAATACGGTGCAGGTCGTGACCATGTGCTCTACAGTTTCCGGAACACTACAGATTGGGCATAGAGGATCTACATCAATGCCCAGACCGATGAAGTTTAGCTCGAAATCCTCCATGCCCCGTGAGGAACTAGGAAATCCAGTAGTCCGGGAGGACCCACTTTGCCTGAAGCCTCGACTGTACTGTGGGAAAGTACTTTCTCAATGTACTTCCTTTAGGGGTTGTTACCCACCACCGGTTCCATGCTTCAATTGTATCCTCTTCCATCTATTAGGCGCTTCCATAATCCTCACCTGTAGATTGTCCGAAAGTACTGTAGAGCCTTCTATCTTATAAGAATATTTTGTCACTTCTTCAAGTAGGAGGAGGTCGAGAGGCACCACCCCCGCTAGGACCTGCACCACTTCATGCGAAGTTGTCCTATATGCTCTGGTGACCCGAAGCAGAGCTGTCCTCTGAGTCGAGGCTAGCCTTTTTTTTTGTCTTAGTGTGAGGTTATGGAAACAGAAGGGGGACCCTCAGGATACCCTCCACAACACCTTTATATATCGTGATTGTGGTTGGATACCTAAGGCCCCAGAATGCGCCCCCACGCGAGTTAGACCGTTCATTGCTAGGGCCACCCTACCTGCCATATATTCCAAGTGAGGTGTCACATTTAGGCCTAAACCTAACCTAACTCCTAGGTAGGTTACCACCTCATTTGGACGTATCCTCTGGCCTTCTATATTCATTGTTATAGGGTGTGCCCTGTCAGTCTTGCCCTTGAGGAGAATGGCTTGAGTCTTGGCAGCAGCCATCCTCATTGTTTTTCTCATTGTTTGTCTATTGTTTTTAATGAATAAATAGGTAATCTTTTTGTTTGTTTTCAATTAGGAATGTTAATATAGAGGACAATAACCCTTAATCCTTTATTTAATGAAATGATTCTAGATTCCAATGTTTACTTTCTATGGAATCAAAATGTTTATTCAGTATCATTAGTTCAGTGCCGTTTCTTGCAGCACATTTCTTAGTCTCCGGCTTTTAATTTTTTTAATATTAAGTTTAAAAATGCCTCTTAGTGCTGAGGATGTTGCGCGTGATGTGGCACTTATTGATGATGGATGTTCCATTAGATATGCAGCTAATGCCATCGGAGTTCCATATGAAACTTTACGAGACGCTGTCAGGCGTTTTTGGCAAACTGGTTCTTACAATAGAAGGGGTTCTGGACGGCCTAGGGTAACAAAACCACGGGATGACCAGTTTTTGACTTTGAGAATTTTACGAAACCGGCACCTTACCGTTGTTCAAGCGATTCATCAGCTCGAAGAAGTTCGAGGTGTACAAATTTCTGAACGTACCGCTCGGAGAAGATTAAATGAGTATGGATTAATGGCTTTTCGTCCAGTAAGAGGACCAGAGTTGACCAGAACTCACAGAAAAACACGGCTGGCTATTGCTCGAGAACACAGCCATTGGACTATGGACGAATGGAGTGCTGTACTTTTTACAGATGAGTCAAGATTCACTCTTCGATCTCCAGACGGGCGTGAAAGGGTTTGGAGAAGAAGAAACGAAAGATATGCAGCCTGTAATTTTTCCCAGAGCCAACCTTTCCAACGTGGTTCCTTAATGGTGTGGGCTGGGATTTCAATGGAGCGCCGCACAGAATTGGTTGTTGTTCGTGGAGGGTCTTTGACGGCCATTCGCTATGTAGATGAGATTTTGGAACCTCATGTGTTGCCTATCCTCAACGAAATCGGCGATCGTTCTATTCTAATGCACGCCCACATGTCGCCCGCATAGTGCAGACGTTCCTTCAACAGAACAATATTGAGGTTTTAGCCTGGCCAGCACGTTCTCCAGATTTGAACCCCATTGAGCATTTATGGGATAACCTCGGAAGACGAATAAGAGCGCGTGCAACACTTCCTGATACACTGCAGGACCTTGAAAGGGCTCTTCGGGAGGAATGGGCTATCCTCTAGCAAAGGGACATTTCCCGACTGGTGGAAAGTATGCCGAGGCGTCTTCAAGAATTAGTGAAGGCAAGAGGAGGAAACACGCGCTACTAAACGATTAATTAATTTCTTTTAGAATAATAATGGTTCATTTTTCAATTTTTTTTTCTCAATCTTTCTTACCCAATCACATTTTGATTATTAAAGGTAAAAAAGATTATAAAATTCCATAAATGCAAATACAACATTTTTTGCCTGTCAGTGTATGAGTCCATCATTGTTAAAGGATTAAAGTGCTAAAGTCTTTAAAAAATTAAAGAATTTTTTAAGACAATAATTCTGAAATGAATTATTATGCGAGAAAGAAAAAAAGAATTTGTTCTCACATGTAAATGAAAACCATTATATGAATTTCTCTTTGGTGCAAAAATTAATATATGAATCAAACACTTCTATTGAAAACTGATTCATCAGATAATCATGGTAACCAAGAACATTCAAATCCCAGCCAACAGCTCATCAAATCTCATAATTAGATGTCAGAGTTCCAAGTTATTGCATATTTTATTTGCTTGCATTTTACACTCCATTGAACAATATTGACATTTATAATGCACTTTGTATGGAGTTAAAGGTGCTATATAAATAAAAATTACGGTTCTGTTGTTGCGGCATATTTATGGAATGTATCTTTCTTAACCAAAAAGCTTTGAATGTACTCAAAATGCAAACTTTGTTGTTAAATATGGTTTTAACTTTATATGTCCTTTTTCTTCCATCAAGATTTAGGTTAATCTTAGTTACCTGTTGAATTATACAAATCATATTTAAATTTATATTTATCTGAACAAAGGTAGGTAAGATTTTCACATTTCAATGTTATAAACTATACAAAAACTATGATTCTTGTTTGTTTAACGTATTATGTACAAAATTTAAAAGCTTTTAAATTTGTTTAATACACAAAAATCTGGCCTCTACTCATAATTAAGACTGTAACAAGTATTTTAATAAATACTAGTTGATTTATCTTACTTCCTTGGGAATTGCGATGTGGTTTTCCAGGATATCAGTAGTCATTCAGAGGTCCATTTGGTTTATGGACAAGCTGTTTCGGAAAAAAATATTGGTACTCGTTCGCCTGCTTACTCTAAGAAGCAGCCATAATCCATGGGAAGGACACAGTCAGGTTGGCCCCAAAAGTTTTGGCTATGGAGTTATGTGTGGCCTGTTGCTACACCATGGAATCCATGGTTCGTAACACTACCATAAGTATACCACTGGAGCTAACAATGCTCCAAGAAGCAATTAACCTCTTTATGAAGACCATACCCCACGGCTATGATCTACCTGGTCTATAGCGCCAATAAAAAAAAATAAAAAATTATATATAGATTTCTTTTTTAATTTAGGTAGTTAATATTGGTATGGATTTAATTAAAGCATTTAACACTCAAAGTTTAAGATTATTATAGAGATTTAGTATGTATGAGGGGATGTATGGTTAGCATAAATTCTAAATAAGTTGAAGATTAGGAATTTTACTCTGCCTTTCAGGAAAATGTACCATAAATACATACCAGTTACAATTATCTGTGAATATTTTCTTTCCATCATACCATAGGTACTCTTGAGGAGGACAGAGAAAAAGAGTATCTACTTCATGAACTACAATCCATTAAATTTTTAGTTTCTGCTTAAACATAAAGGATTGTTAAGTATGCATATCTCTCATCCTCAAAATCATACATCATTTTTAAATGATAATCAAGATTATGTAGATTTAATAAAACAATTAAAAAGATGTAACTATCAAAAATATATAAACTAAACTTATTTTGATTCTACATCACAAGTATCGCTACACTACAATATGGCAGGTCAATCAAATCAATCACACTGAAAAGAGGATAAAGAAGACAGCTCTCCCTGATAACATCTCAATCTCAACTCAAAAACTCGACTCTGATTAAAGCAAGATTTTGACCAGATTGTACAGAGTTAATCAATTTCGAAAAAACAAATAAAATTAAACAATTTTAAAATCTAGAATTTTGCATAACATCACTTCTTTATACCCCAGATATTTTAATCTTGTGATAAGACGTTTACACAACCTATTAAGTTAGAAGTAATTTTCAAAATCACAATGTTCACTATTGTAGAAATAAATAAAAAACAAATCAGAAAAATCAATGATATATTTTTTATTAAACATGAAACTACTTACTTTAGCCAACTAAACTTCTTAAGACACCATAACAATTTTACATCAATAATACATTAAAATATGAAATAACTATGATATGCAACAAGTATCTAAATTAGTCAACCCCAATATAAAAGTAACTATCGTCACTTACAACAGAATTTAATCACTATACTGAAAGCCATTTAAAATGGTAAATTTTTATTAACTTTTACTGCTCTAATTAAAAGATTTCAGCCGAATAACTCTATGTTACATTTTTTCAAAATCAGATTTTATGCTGAATTACATTTAATGCAACTAGTGTTACATGTTCTTAATGCAAAGTTATTATGATGCCATTGCCATAAGAGCTTGATATAATTATGGAACATGAATGCAAGTAAAATAATGTGTTATGCTTCTTATGGATCAAATGTGATCAATGCCCTGTCAAGTAAAAAACTACTACATCCATTGACTTCAATCAATTAACCAGTTAGCAGTTAGACAGAAGAATCAACTCACCATTTAAAACTTTCTGCCTGAAAGGTGATCTTTGAAGTTTTTGCCTTTTAGGAGGTGTGATACCAAGATTGAGATTTTCATCATTTTCATCTGAGGAATCATCCCTGAAATATAAGTTTATATAGGCGAATATTTTATAAACATATACCGACAAACACAAAATCGGAAAAAATCGTAGGCAATAATTGATCCATATAAATGGTCATAAGAGATCCAATAACTTGACTTAAGTGAAAAGGAACGTAACTGAGTACAGTAATTACCTCAGTCTTTTATTCGTATTTTGACCCCAGGGAAGAAAGGCATACAGGGAATTAATAATCTTATTAAAAATTGTTGCCATAATCGGACACATTCAGTGAATTACACATTAACGAATAGAATAATTTATTTGGTCCAGAAAATTTTAAACATATGCCTGAAACTTTAAAATACATAACCACTAACCACATGTAACAACATTATCAAATCAAAACGCTACTAACGAATCGTTAGTAACGATAGGAGCGTAGAAGGTACCACTAGTGTTACAAGCCTCCAAACACAAACTGAACGTGCCATCCCAAATGAACCCGTTCTCGTTAATCGATTTATTGTAATAACCCATTTTCAGTTAAAATTTAACTTATATTATTAGTATATTTCAAAACAAAAACCATGTATAATATAAATACTCATTACTATGAACTGTTTACAATTTCTTCCGTTGAACACAAGGCCATGATAAGTATAATTATTAACAATATCAGATAAATAAAATTTGTAATACACTATGAAAATTAAGCAACATTCATTAAAGTAATATTATTTAGTCGACCAGATCCGTTGTGTTTTGTTATATCAGCAATTTGGATTAATGGAATCTTTTTTTTTTTTTTTTTTTTTTTTACGACAGTATATTTGTTTATTTAGAAATATTACATTCTGTCACATCAAGGACATTTATAATAGTGTTCAGAGAAAGCACACTCACACTCTATTTACAATAAAAAAAAAAATACAGAAACTAATAATAATAATACAATAAAATTAATTAAAATAAATACAATAAAATAAAATAAAAATAAATACAATAAAATAAAATAAATGTATATAAACAAAAGAACTAACCTAATCATACACACTCGGGCTTGAGTGGAGGATCTGGCCATTGCCAAAACTCCAATAGATGCTTATTTACAAAAGGTCTCTGGGCCACTGCCGCTTCAACCTTCGAGGAGGATTGTAAGGATGGGTGGTGCTGGATAGAGATTGTGCAAGGGATTTGGATGATAGGTAAGGTTCTGGTGAAATTTGGAGAATTTTTCTGGAATAAGGTCTAGGACAAATGGGATATTAAGGTCATGGTGTAGGATTTTGTTATTTACATAGAACGGAGCATCAACTATTGTTCGAAGGACTTTAGATTGAAAGGATTGAATACGTTTGATGTTAGAAGCTTTTGCTGTCCCCCACAGTTCAAGTCCGTATGTCCATATAGGTTTCAGTATTGTCTTGGAGATAAGTAATTTGTTTTCAATAGAAAGTTTGGATTTTCTGTTTAGTAGTCTGTATAGCTGGCCGTATCGTCGGTTGAGTTCTTGTCTTTTGAGTCTAGTATGTGGGTTCCACGTTAGTCTTCGGTCTAAATGAAAGCCAAGATACCGGACTGTGTCTGAGTAAGGAAGCTGGATGGAATTAAAGTGTACTGGTGGACAGGAACTGCGTCGGAGTGTAAAGGTAATATGTTGGCATTTAGATTCATTAACTTTAATGCGCCAGTTATTACACCAGTGCTCAATCAAGGTGAGGTGGCTTTGGAGATTTAAGGATGCTATGTTGGGATCAGAGTTGGATGATAAGATTGCGGTGTCGTCAGCGAATGTTGCAAGAAAAGTATCGGGATGAACAGGGATGTCAGCAGTAAAGAGGATGTAAAGCACGGGACCCAAGACGCTGCCTTGGGGAACACCGGCTTTAACGGAGTAGATATTGGAAAATTCTGTTCCACAGCGAACTCGGAAGGAGCGGTCAGAGAGGTAGGATCGGAGGACTAGGTACAAGGACTGAGGTAAATGGATTTTAAGCTTGAAGAGCAGTCCGGAGTGCCATACCCGGTCAAATGCCTGTGCAATGTCCAGAAATGCACCCGAACAGTATTCCTTGTTTTCTAGGGCTGAGGAAATATGATCAACAACTCGGAGTCCTTGTTGAACAGTAGAATGTTGGGAGCGAAAACCAAACTGATGGGAAGGAATATTTTGGGATTCTATAATGGGTAGGATTCGTTTCAAAAGGATCTTTTCAAAAATTTTTGAAAGGATTGGGAGTAGGCTAATTGGTCTATAGGATGTTGAGATATTGGGAGGTTTGCCTGGTTTTGGGAAAAGGATAATAGTGGAGTGTTTCCATAGCAGAGGAAAGTGGGTGGTGCGTAGGATACAATTGTAGATATATGTAAGGAATATGACTGCTTTGGATGGAAGTTGTCGAAGGATTTGAGGGGTAAGGAGATCATGTCCAGGAGCTTTACGGGGGATTAGTTTTTTTAATTGAAATTTCACTTCGGAAGGATGAATAGCTTTTGGGGGCAAGGAAAGTGGGATTGGTGATGTAAGGAGTTCTTCTACTGTTACGGTGTGGGCAGGATGGGATTCCGGATGTGAAATAAATGTATTGGATAGGTGAATGGCGAACTCCTCAGCCTTATCTTCGTCAGATGCTGCCCAGGAGCCATCATCTCGTCGGAGAGGATGGGAAATGCGGTGAGGATTTAGGATTTTGGTTGTGGTTTTCCAAAGGGAATTGTCGCGAGAAGAGAGGGAGGATAGGTAGGAGTTGAAGGAATGTGATCTGAAGGTGGCTAATTCCAGTTTTAATTTTTTGCAGTAATAATTATAGGAGCAGCGGTCGGTAGGATGTCGGGTACGTTGCCACAATAATCTGGCACGGCGTTTGGTTTGGATTAGGTCAAGGAGGTGTTGGGGTAGAATGGTCTTTTTAGGAATTCTGGAGGAGTCTTTTGGGAAGGAGGCAGTCCAGGCGGCTTGTTGGATTGTGGTAGTAAAAGAATTTACGGCACTATCAAGGTCTTCGGGAGTTTTGAGGGATATGTTAAGATCAATTTTATCGGAGATGATTGGGCGGAAAAGGTCCCAGTTAACTGGGCTCCTAATAAATGACGGTGGAGAAGGTTTGGGAACGGGTTCAAGTGAAACATTAAGGATTAGAGGACTATGGTCAGAGGAAAGTTCATTTAGACGTGTAATGGAACAATTGAGGGACTTAAGCCGCTGTGGATAAAGAAATCAAGAAGATCAGGATTACGGTTGGGATCTGTAGGCCAGTAGGTAGGAAAGTTGGGGGAAAGGAGGTGAAAACGTTGGGAATTGAGTGCAGACAGCACGGTTCGGCCACGAGTATTCGTGGTTCTGGAACCCCATTGTTGATGTTTGGCATTTAGGTCTGCACCCAAGATGAAGTGATGTCCTAAGGAGTCGAGGAGAGAACGGAATTGGGCATTAGATATGGATCGGTTAGGAGGGCAATCCGCTGATGCAAGGGTAACCGGAAAGGAAAGGTTTTTATCACGACAGCGGTGGACTGTAGGAAATCATGTGTAGGTAACGGGAGTAGGTGATGGGAGAGGGATTGGTGTACAATGACAGCAGTACCGGCATGTGCTTTTCCGTCAGGGTGGTCAGTACGATATGTCAGGTATTGTGGTATTTTGAAGTGCTGTTTAGTGGTTAGTCGAGTTTCTGTAATTAGTGCCACGTCAATATTTTTGTCAAGTAATAATGTAGTTAGTTCGTTTGTATAATTCCTAACACCATTCGCATTCCAAAGGAGAATGGATAAAGGTTTATTGGAAGTCATTTAAGGATTTTTCGCGGGAGGGATAAAATGTGATACAAGATTGGTGAGAAGAGATATCAAAGGAGTAACAAGGGATCTGAATTCGGAGAGGAAAGATCTAAGTAAACTGGTGAGATCGGTGGTATTTGAGGGAGGAGGAATGCGGGGAATTTGGTGTTGATAAAACTGTTGATTAGGTGAAGTTTGATTAGGATGTTGAGGGTGGGGTTGTGAATTTTGAGGTATGTGTTGTTGTTGCGGCAGGGTCTCACAATAAGTAACATCATTCTTACCTCCTAATAAGTGTACAAAAGACACCGTTGGGTCAATTTTTTTTTAAGGTCCTCCTCTTGATGCGTTAGGTTCTCTTCTTGATGCCTCTGCTTCCTGAAGGCGGGGAATGCTTGTTATTTTTCTGTGACAAAACTACTTAGTTCGCGCCTCTTGTCCCGAAACTTAAAAATTAGAATCTATAAAACAATTATCTTGCCTACAGTTCTTTATGGATGCGAAACTTGGCCGCTTACATTAAGGGATGAGCAGCGTCTTAAGGTTTTTGAAAATAAAGTATTGCGTAGAATATTCGGACCGAAGAAGGATTAGTTAACCGGAGAGTTCAGACGGTTACACAACGCCGAATTGCATGAGCTGTATCCGGATAATATAATTGAGGTAATTTCATCGAGGCGAATCAAATGGGCTTGTAAAGTTGTTGGGCTTCAGTAACGAGAGAATTCCTAAAAGGTTAATATTTGCTGTGCCGAATGGTAAGCGTCCGAGGGGTAGACCGAAGCGAAGGTGGGAAGATTGCATTAAGGCCGATCTGAAGGGACTGGGTTTGGACGGCGAACGGTGGAGGGAGGTGTGTAACAAGCGATTGGTGGTGTCGGCATCGAACCTTCGGGTTCGCTAAGCCTTATTATTATTATTATTATTATCCTTATATAAACAAATTTTAATATTTGTATCACTATAATCTATACAATTAAATATTAAATAATACCTACAATATCATCTATGAAAACCGCATATGTATATTTACATAATATTGTCGGAGTTCTTATTAAGCCCATGTTACGTATGGAAGCATGTTCTAATCTTTCGGGCGAGTTCGGGTGCGCTCGTGTTTCTTTGGTTCCTCAATTACAACTATCCTCCGTTACGATCTCTTATTTCTCCTTTAGTTAATTATCAAATTCTTTCATATTTTATATTTAACTATCTTTTATATTAGAAATTAATCTGAAATGGTCATTTGTTTCAAATAAAAAAAATGAAATGTACTTTAGAGGAAGCTAATATTGAAAATTAGCCATTTAAGCTCTGTTAGAAAACATCAATCAGAATAAAATCTACAGTTTATTTAAAATTGCTTAATTTTACACTGATTTGATGAACTTAATCAAAGTCGTTAGAGCTGTTTTCGAGAAAATCCCAAAAATGTGTTTAGTCCGTAATATAAAGTGACACTTCCGGAGAGCTGATTTTGACGAAAAAGTTGCTGTAACATCTCTAGCA